GGCATAAACCGCATGGCTATTCATTATTACGCCCCAAGAATTACAAGTCGCAATCTATAAAGGCATCTTCTCAATTTATTACGACCAATATTATGATCTGCCTATATATAAACCACTTCGGGGAGCAACTTTCAATAGCAATTTTCGGGGGCGGCTTTCGGAAGTCACTTTGCAGAATAGCTTTGGGGAGACATTTTAGTTTAGGGTATAGGTTTAAAGAATCGTAGGTTTCGGGCAATAGCTTTGGACAGCAGTTTTAGCAAGCTGGGAAGCCATTTTGCAGAATAGCTTTAGGGAGCCGTTTTGGTATATAGGTTTGAAGAGTTGCAGTTTTAGGGCAATGCTTTTAGACAGCAGCTTTTAGTAATAACTTTGAGGCACAACTTTCGGGAGCCGTTTTACAGAATGGCTTTAGGGAGACGTTTCGGTAAACAGGTTTTCCGAATCGCAGCTTTGGGGTAACAACTTGAGAACAATCTTAGGCGCAACTTTGGGGAATAACGCCGGGGAACAGCTTTGGGGAGAAGCTTTAGAGAGCAGCTTTGAGGAGCAGCTTTGCACGGCAGCTTTGAAAAAAAAAACCGTGCTTTGGGGAGCACATATGGGGAGTAGCTTTGGAATGCAATTTTGGGGAGCAATTTTCGGCAGCAATTTTGGGAAGCAGCTTTAGGGCACCAGCTTTGGAGAACAGCTTTGGGCACAACTTTGGGGAGCAGCGCTGAGGAACAGCTTTGGGGAGCAGCCCTGGAGAACAGCTTTGAGGAGCAGCTTGGCACGGCAGCTTTGAAGAACCGCAGCTTTGGGAAGCAACTTTGGGGAGCAGCTTTCGGGAGCCGCTTTGCAGAATGGCTTTGGGGAGGCATTTTGGCGAACAGGTTTGCAGAGTCGCAGCTTTGGGGCAACAATTTTGGAGAACAGCTTTGGGCGCAACTTTGGGGAGTAGTATCGGGGAACAGCACCGGGGAGCAGCTTTAGGGAGCAGCTTTGAAGAGCAGCTTTGCACGGCAGCCAAAATGTACAAAACACACCATTCTCGGACTACTTTTGGAAGTTGAGATGTCGAAAAAGTGCACGCCGTTGTGGCGCGAAGCACATTTCCAAGTCAAAATGTACAAAACACACCATTGTCGGACCACGTTTGGAAGTTGCGATGTCGAAAAAGTGCACGCCGTTGTGGCAGGAAGCACATTTCGAAGTCAAAAATGTACAAAACACACCAGCTTCGGACCACTTTTGGAAGTTAAGATGTCGAAAAAGTGCGCGCGGTTGTGGCGCGAAGCACATTTCAAAGTGAACATGCACAAAACACTACATGTTCGCGCCACTTTTGGAGGTTCAGATGTCGAAAAAGTGCACGCCGTTGTGGCGCGAAGTACAGTTCGAAGTCCAAATGTTAAAAACACCAGGGGTTCGGACCACTTTTGGAGGTTCAGATGTCGCTTCGCTTCTCTTCGCTTCACACTACACTACACTCCACCCCACTGCACTACATTACACTACATTACACTACACTACACTACACTACTTTCCACCACACTTCACTACACTACACTCCACTCCACTACACTACAAACTACAACTACAACTACACAACTACACCCCACTACACTCCACTACACTCCACTACACTCCACTACACTACATCACACTACACCACACTACTTTACACTACACTACACTACCTTCCACTACACTTCACTACATTACACTACACTACACTCCACTACACTACAAATACAACTACACAACGACACAACTACACAACTACATTCCACTACACTCCACTACACTACACTACACTACATTACACTACACTCCACAACACTACAACTAAAAGTACACAACTACACAACTACACTCCACTAAATTACACTACACTACACTACACTACATTACACTACACTGCGCTCCACTACACTACATTACACTACACTACACTACCTTCCACTACACTTCACTACATTACATTACACATCATTACACTACAACTACAACTACAACTACAACTACCAAACTACACTCCACTACTCTAAATTACACTACGCTACACAACAGTACACTACACTACACTACATTCCACTACACTCCACTACACTACACTGCATTACACTACACTGCATTACACTGAATGACATTGCACCACAGATAGACAGGTAGACAGATAGACAGATAGACAGCTGGACAGATAGCCAGATGAAAGGGAGAGAGAGAGATAGATAGATAGATAGATAGATAGACAGACAGAGAGACACAGACAGATAGATAGATAGATAGGTAATGAGATGAAAGAGAGAGAGAGAGAGAGATAGATAGATAGATAGATACATAGAAGATAGACAGGTAGGTAGGTAGATAGTCAGAGCAAGAGAGAGAAAGAGAGGAGACCTCAAGCACCTTTCGGTCCATCAGTGGATTCGCTCTGCCATCCTTGATTCACAACAACGAATCTCTCCTATAGGTTTCCTATTTTTGAAACTTCCGCCACCGCCTTGTGCGGTACTACTGGTATTATCTAATCTTCCTTTGGTTTACCCGAGAGAGTCCTGTCCAGAAAAATAGTTGGGTTAATTAATATCAAATTTATTCTTATATACATATACAATATAGATATATATAGTCGTCATCAAATCAAAACACTGTTATCTTTTTTCCAGACTGCTCAAGGGACAGTCACTGCCACTCAGCTGGTGTCCATCTTCACGGCCTGACAGGATGCAGTACTTTCCAGTCTTCACAGTCACTCCATTCACTGAGCACTGCATCTGGCTGCATCTTGCTCCTTTATCATTGAAATTCATTGAACATGTCACCTCCTGACTCACAATGTGATCCTGTGAGGGCTATTTGCAAGCTTGACCATACGCCAGGCGGGGACGCTTTTTTTTCACCAAGGTGACCCGCGAGCCAAACTATCTAAATCAACCGCCTGCCGAATAAAAACAACGATCAGAGTGACCGGTCTCAAAACAAGTGCCGCAAATGGGGATGTCTTTCGGATTTTAGATTGAAGTTTTTATGTTATTTGCAACAAAGACATTGATTTGTAGTGCAACAAAAGACAGCAAACATATAAATAATTAAGGGAAATAAGTGGTCCCTTGCCTTTATGTGATGCTGGGTTGACACCGCAAACAAACATTTTTGCGGCCGTTTGTCCATCTGTTGCCTTCCTGGATGTTGTCAAGCATGCCGTGACAATCTGGTCTGTCAGCCCAAACAAACACTGCGCGTTCAGTTGCCCGTTCTGCAGCTTCAACGCTCCTTAGTCCAATCAGATCTGCCTTTGAGAGTGACATAGAGTGACAGCCTTCAAAAGGCCGCTGCTTGCCAAACAATCAACATCCATCAACAGTACTCAACTAGTCATCAATTAGCAATCAACTAGTAATCAATTTCCTGCCTTGCAAAAGGATGTTGATGTCAGCAGAATCTGAGTGCGTGTTGAGGTCAGGACGTGTAACCTGTTTAAGACGCTCGGCTCTCAAACTCATTCATGGTGAGGAACCTGGGCTGGCCATTGACCATGCAACGAACAAAACTAGGGGCTATAGAATTGCTTTCCTGGCGCTGCATCTTGCGCTTGTCTCTCCTAAATACCTACGAATCAAGATCTATCATTGACTCACATTTATTCACATCTAAAATATTTTAAAATAAGGTAAACAAACTCGAGGAGCTCATCCATGGCCGACTTAATACCGTTTTCGATCTCTGGAGTGATCTGCTTCTTCTCCATAATCTCCTCCGACGATTGGGACTGATGTAGCAAAGACAATGCTAACAGGCTAACAGTCAATAGCTGCTACAATAGCTCCGGGAAAATAGAACGGATGAACTGCTTTTGATGATGACGTCACCTGTGTATCTGTATAGCTTTTGAAATTTTGATAGATCTTGGTCACCTGCATGTTGCATAAAAAGTCTGCACTTTGCTTCTCCCATTTGACCGTCATGGAAACATGTAGCCTGAATGATCCGGTGTTTCACATCGTCAAGTCAAGGCATTCGCTCGCAACGCTGATCAAACAGCAGCAAAGTCTCCATCCCAAAATCAAAACGTGCGGCAACAGCATGCAACGCCTCTCCTTGAGCACATCGCCACGAGTGTCCTTGAAGTGCTTCAACCAAAGTGCTTCAAATCGAAGAATTTCCTTCGTGGCCACCTGCATGTCTGAACCGTTTGTCAAAGTTTGATACATGTTTATATAATATTTTCGAGTTCCCAACATTCAACACATATCAACACCATCAACATCCATCAACCTATTACAAAACATTGACGAGTCTCTATGGATCCCTCTATGGTTTGTATTGTTCTGTTAGTTTCTGTGGAGCGCAATTGCTCAAGCCAGGCCACTCCGTAGTTTCAAACTGGGTACAATATTCTGATATTCGCAATAATATCGGTATATTGAGAGCTGCTCATATCATCTCTTGTCATCTCTTATCCAGCTTGGCCTTGTCAAGGTAGCCTCGAGTGCCAGCCCAGAGAGAGACGATGATCTCTGCTGTGGTCATGGGCACAAACCTCGAACGAGGATAGGTTTCTCATGGTTTCTCCAGTTCTCTCGATTGCTGGCAACATCACTCCTCTTACAGTACCCGTGGCCCTGGCTGTTTCTGCTTCAGCAGTTCTGTCAGGATGCCACCTGCCCCAATCAAAAATTTTGCAGGGCCCTTGCTGTCATCTGAATCATTCTGAATCTACTTCATGAGGCTCACTCTTTGCACGAGATTGCTTTGCTTTGAATTTGAGGAGCCACCAAAAACTCTTACCCATTGTCCTTCTCTCTATCTCTCTCACAGTTTCAAGTCTCCAACTGTTGCCACGCAACTACGTCAACAAGCCTCGCAGCAGCTGATGCTGTGTTGCTGCGTCTAGATCAGAACCGAACTGAGCAAAGGCCGCAACCTGGAAAGTGGCTGACAGCAAGGACAAAACCGCGGATTGGAGCAAACAAATGCACAAGTTGTACCAGATCTCATCAAAGACATTTGAACAGGTTTCATGTTGTACCAAGGTCACAAGTGCAGCTGTACACCCTTCATTGAATCAGTCATCCAAATATCCTGGGATTTTGATCACATGCGCCGATCTGTAAAAAACACTGAAAAACATCTACCGGAGCGAGTGTCGCTTATAGAGGGATTCACTCCTGGGGTACGTCCATTTTGGAGCATGAAAAAAACATGATACATATGGAGACTGTCGTTGCAATAGATCAGTGTGTTGGTTCCTGGCAGCCTCACGATACTGCGCCAGTTCCAACTTCAAAGTGCCAGCCACCTGGCAAAGGGAAGGTGCAGGAGGGAAGCAGTGATCTTCCTTACATGAAGAAGGTCGAGCAATGTCAATGGCTTGAATACATGTGAATACATGTTGGCTTGCTCATGTTAGTGCAAACATCAAATTACATGATCCGTTTCAAAAACATGTCGTCTGAATTTGCCCGAACATCTAAGGTTCTAGTTACACAATGTTGCACAATTCCCTTTCTGATTTCTCACGTAGGAATCGCTTTGTGCAAATGCGCTGGTCGCTCGTGCATAAGTGAATGAAGTCAGAGCTTCCAAGCTGATCTAAGTTGTAGCCGCCTGCTTCATGGCTTTAATTTGAGCTGCACTGCCGACGCCTCAGTTGGAGAATGTCCCGTGAATGTCCCGAGAATGTTAGAGATCTTCACGGTGCCGCATGGTGACCCGAATCGCTTGTCTGAATCCGCACAATGGTTGGCGAAGGATTTTCATGATTGAAGCATCCACTGCTACAAAATCCTTTGGTTAAGTGGCAAAACCAGCGAAGTTATCCTATAAGAGTCTTTACCCCGATTTTGTTCTTATTTGCCACCAAGTAGAATCTCAACAAATCTCAACCTTCGACTCAAAGAAATATCTCTGGCGATGTCCAGACTGTTAAATCATGTTAAATCATCTGAATTTTTGCGACTCTGATTTTGATTTGATTTTTGTTTTCTTGATTGATTCTGTCAATATCTGTCAATTCTGTCTCAAATCTGGATTCACCATGATTCACCTCTCAGACAGGCCACGGCTCACGGAGAGACCGACGTTCACAGCTGGGCGAATTCCCTCGCATGGAGCAATGCAGTATGTTAACTGTTCTGTATTTGTCCCCTAAACATCCGACAATGGATCTTTAACTTAACATAATTCAATATACATCAATAATCATCAATATACATCAATATACTGTATTGTACAGTATTATTATACATATTATACAGCATTCATTGGCAATCATCTCCGCTGTACGAGTACTGCGCATCGACTTCACGAAAACGGCTCCTCTTCTGCAGTCACTTGCACAAATTAGTCCAACGCCTTGTAGAAAAGCTCTGTCTCCAGGAAAATCTGCCCATCCGTAATGGAGATGACCTGCGATGGATGAGATTTGCCGATTTGCCGTTTGCTGTGTTTATCTGTGTTTGCTTCTTTGGAAGGTGTGCAGGTGCACTCTTCGCCAGTGGACTTGAGACCGCACAGGAGGCACAGCAGGCCACTGAAAAACAAATGAGAGAGGATAGACCGTGCAGGAGGATTTCCGCCACGACAGCGTGGTCATATTCAGTACAGATACATATATAATATCATATAATATCATATTATATAATGAGAATTCATGAGATGTATTGATATGTCAGATTGATTCCTGCTCCGGGAGCCCCGACATTCGTGGGAATGTAGGCGCTCACATCGCCAGCTTGTGTCTCAATGACGGGCAGGGCCGTGAGGGAGCCTCCACCATGGGTCTCCTGTCGGTGCCAATTGAATCCAATTGGCACATTGCAACGCTTTGCAGCATGCTCTTCACATCTCTTCACCATCTTCACCGTGTCAGCATGTGTGAACAATTTTTATGCGGCGAGATGCGGCGAGACTTTCTATATCATTCTGTCCACTTGGTGTCACAAAGCGTCTGGTGACACTTTCCCATGCCTCGTTCATCTTTGCTGCTCGCTCGAGAAGCCGGGAATGCAAGTAAAAAACGTCACCTTCCAATGGACTCTCTGGGGCACTAGTTCATCTGTGCGCAAGCTATTTGTCTCAACACTCTGCTGGTACAAACTGCCGTGGTATAAACTTGGATACTGTTTTTACAGTGAGATTTTCCACCTTGGACAAAGAACATACGCAATCAACAAGTCGTGTGTTGAGTTCTGCATACGCATACTTCCTGCATTTCTGCGGGAACTCAGAATGTTTTGGAGCTACAGGACATGGAGCTACACAGTCTCACTCAGTCTACATGGTCCCACATGTGGAAGAAGAACCAAGCTGTAGTTCGATGGCCCACCAGTGAGACTGTCGCTGTTCGCTTCAAGTGCTCTCGCCTGGGTAGGCCTCGCGGCCAGGGGGTCGGCGAAGCAGTAACGACATCTGGCCTCAGCGACCCAACTTTATCGCACGGTATCCCAAGCGACAATTCTCTGACCGCAAACAATTTACAACACATGACGCACGCCATTCATTGACAGTAATAACAAATCAAACAAGTGCAATAAAGACACATTTTCCAATATTTTCTAATCATCTACACTATTCTTACATATTCTTACATTTGGAATCCCGCTGGACCTGCAAAGAAGTTTCTTCTGGAAGTCACACACTGTCACATACTTCAGCACAAAACAACCGAGCAGCGGTAGGCGACTGCCTGCTTTGACAGGTCATCATAGAAAATCACCTCAATATCAGGCATGGTCTCTGTATGCCTCTGTGAGACCTATCACAGAATTCACTGAATACTGGACTGTGCCCGTCTGAAATGACATATATAATAATATAATATAATATAATATAATGTAATATAATATAATATAATATAATATAAAAAAATATAATATAATATAATATAATATGATATAATATGATATGATATGATATGATAAAAAATGATATGATATGATATAATATAACATAACATAACATACCACAATATAATATAATATACTGTAATGTAATGTAATATAATATAATATGCAATATGTAATATATGTATACACACACATATATATATATATGTGTGTTATAATTGCCAATTCCGCCACTTCTTCACGTCTCCACTCCTCCCGATCAAACAAATCTGAGCCTGTGACGGCATGCTTGCCGTTGTCTCGAAAGTACTCTGCCATGGCGCATCCAGTGTATGGCGCTAAGAACTGCAAAGGTGCGGCCTGAGGCTACTGATCTCGTCGAAAGCATGAAAGGCTGCGAACTTGTAGAATGGCTTAGATCATGAGTATTAGGATAGTGATGGATAATGCATTATGAAATCATTATGGCATTTCAATTGTACATGGAACCAACATGAGAGAGACCGCGCAAGGGAGAGGCCGAGCTGCATCTGACGCTGTGGCAGCCACGACCGTTGTATATTTCAGACAATCCTTAGTATGTTCCAGAGGTACTGTACCTTTGATCTCACGATTGTGGACCTTTGCCTAGTGTGCTTACATTCATACATTGTCATACAAATATCATAAACCCAACGCATTTGAAGCCCTACATATTTTGTCTACATATACGTATACATGTGTATATGCGTGTAAATAGTGCAAATATGTATAAGCAAAACTGTGTATACGCAAACGAGCAAGCAGCACAAGCCCTGTTGGAACCATGGCAGCACCCCATGCAAGTCAATGCCATCGTTGCCTCTGGACCACATTGCCAATCAACAATCCCGACTTCTCGACCCCTGCCACCCATCCCACGGAGGGGTTGATACGTGCTGATACCCCACCGTCACCGATTTGCCAGGAACAAGCTGTAAGCAGCTGTAACAGGCCCCCCAAAAAAGTTCCATTCGGACACCCTGATCCTATCTGATCCTCACATATCCTCACCCTGCAACGTTCTGTACCACCTCGGGAAGCCCTTGCCGCCAACAAAATCCATGTTGTGTGATTTCACTTCGCTGGCAAAATCCAAAGCCTACAGACTAGTCTTCATAATTAATAATCGATCAATCTATCCATCTATCAATCTATGTATACATCACTATCCATCTGTCTATCAATCAATCTATCAATCACTATATCCATCTATATCATCTATCTGAATCTATCTATCAATCACTCTATCAATCATTCTATCCATCTAGAAAACTTATCTCTATCAATCAATGTATCAATCACTCTATCAATCTAGCCATCAGTCTATCTTAAATCTTTCTATCTGTCTGTGTATCTAAACACATGTACAAACAAACATAAATAGGATAACATACGTGTATGTTACTTGCATCATGTTACATAACAATCAAGTTTCTGGAAAAGTCTCGCTACTGTATCTTGCAGCTTGTAAAGACTGCACCGCGGTCTGAAAGAGCATTTGCACCATTTTTCAAGTACAATGAGCGTATTGCTGCAATGCCAGGGCACGTTTTTGCGAAGAATCTCGAAGAGCTGTGCGACGGTGGATCGCTTCTGGCCTGTCCAATGCTCAGTGCTGTGTAGTAAAACTATGCCAGACAGTGCCAGATATGCCAAAAGCACTGGGACATATCACGACCGCATACGACAACTCAAATCACGGAAAAACAAGCGACCCCAGCTACTGAGTTTGCGTTGAGGGGCGTTCAAATGATGTCCGGTGCATCACACATTCTTCAATACAAAAAGGTTCTCGCAGTTCGCGATATCGGAAATACATTATATAACACAAACTGAATACATGATGCGAAAGTCAACCAGAAACATCAGTACAAACAACTTCCAATACCAAACACCTCACATAATCTCACATTCCCCGTGCTGTATCGTCAACGAATGACCTGAGCCGGTTTACCCAGCCTACGGCCACATAAATGCAGTACAAGTGAGCTGTCTTGTCCGGGGAAGCATTGATAGCCTGCACAATCGCTGCAAAGTTCGTGACTATTTGATACAATGTGGCTGTATAATGCAGTACTGATCTGCATAAGTTTCAAAACTGCCACCAGTCATATCGTGTCAATTCGTGTCATATAGGTCATGATAGTAATATAATGTAAGATAGGCTATATAGGTCATGAATGGTCATGATAGTACTGCAATGTGCTGCAAATCTTGCAGCTTTGGAATCTCAGCTCCAGCTCTTCGAATCGAGGGACGTAGGCACAACACTTTTCACTCTACTGTAAGAGAAGCACATACATAAAAGCTTATGCAACATAGTAGCACTGACAGCACCATTGTGTATGTCTCAAATCTATTCAAATCTTTCATAAAGGTTGATCCATTGCGTGCGATCTACTATCAGCAGTGTATCACAAAACAAAGTATATATCAAACTCTTAACCAACATGGCAAGATACAAAGCACCTGCAACACGAACAAACTTCTGTAGGGACAATATCACGGGATGTACAACAGCACAATGCGATTCGGTGTCACATGCTAGGTATTGTATACACATCTTAGCATCTTGGATTGGGCCATATTCTTGCTGGATAAAACGATACATGTAAAAAAACATGTAAAATATGCAATACATAGTACTGCAGTGATGCACAACTAAACCATGATACAGTACACTGCAACTGCAAAAGCAGCAGTGTATAAAGCAATATCATACAATAGAACGCAACAATCTAGAGTCTTGCAATCCAACACAAAAATAATGTACATAGTTTTGCATGCAATCCTTGTGCAATAACGCACAAGTAGCCCAATCTCAATATATGTGTATATACAGTTGTGTATGTATGTATGTATGTATGTATGTATGTATGTATGTATGTATGTATGTAATGTATGTATGTATGTATGTAATGTATGTAATGTATGTAATGTATGTAATGTATGTAATGTATGTAATGTATGTAATGTATGTAATGTATGTAATGTATGTAATGTATGTAATGTATGTAATGTATGTAATGTATGTAATGTATGTAATGTCATGTAATGTATGTAATGTATGTAATGTATGTAATGTATGTAATGTATGTAATGTATGTAATGTATGTAATGTATGTAATGTATGTATGTATGTATGGATGGATGGATGGATGGATGGATGGATGGATGGATGGATGGATGTATGAATGTATGTATGTATGTATGTATATATACGTTATATATATATATTATTCAATTGAAGTGCAAACCCACCACAAATATCACTAGAACATTCGAAATTATAAGATTCATAAGACTCGTATGCTGATTGTCGAACAATAACTTTGTTTTTGCACTCTATTCTACTTGGCATAGCTGCGATTTTCGGACTCCGTGGGTCCTGCTTCTCTCCCGTTGAATTCAAAGCGATGGCATCTCTTTTGTCCCCAATGCGAGGGGGTGGGGACAGGAGAACCAATATCCAATCAATATCCAATCTTGCAGCTCTTAGTCCGATCCTCAATATGTCCCCATGTTCTCCCTAGCCCTATGCTGTCCTTCTGGTTCAGGATGGTGTCAATGGCAATGGCTGTTTTTCCTGTCTGTCGATCTCCAATAATGAGCTCTCGCTGGCCGCGGCCAATAGGGATAAGACTGTCAACTGCCTTGAGACCGGTAGTCCTGACGGTCGATGCAAATAAAAATAAATAAAAGCCAGCTATGGACAATCTAGCACTTTGCAACCAGTACGACACTTTGAACAACATAATTCAAAATAACATAAAATAACATTAGAAAAAAATCTTGCCAGGTGCGACCTGAAGTGGAGCAAACCTGAGCCTACAGGATTGAAACTCTATGTGCTGAATGTATCCCCTACAACCACCACAGGTATGTTTGGCACATTCTGTCATTTAGGTATCGGCACTGCTAAGGATGACATCAGGAGTTTCTGCTTAAGAAAAAAGAGGACGATAATGGACGATATCATGCCAAAAAAGGCGAAGATACTTCTGATATCATGCCATCTCCCCCTGACAGCAACTTCGGTCATGGGCTCGTGCACACTCTGTCGTGGAATGATTCCAGGAGCCTGGCTCGAGATGGCATCGTCAAACAATTATATTCTTCCCACGTCTTCGTTTAGGCATAAAAGACATGTACATACATTTAGTCATTTACTCATTTAAAATCATTTATAGATAATAGATGATTATAGATCTCAACTACATGATGTGAACACCTTCCTGTTTTTCATTTGCCGGCCCCGCCTTTAGCTCAACACGGCGTCGTGACTTGGTGTTGATTGGCCCCGCACCATCGATTGGTGTTCCCAAGGCGTCCACAACACGGCCCAACCTCGGAACACAAGATCAACGCAAGGTGCGGAGTCAGTCGAAATCGTTGAAACAACATGAAACAACAACACAATACTGGCAATACTCAAACACTACCAGGCGGCCAAAAACAAATATTTATTTCATTTTATTTCGATTGACAAATATGTGCTGATAGAATTTGTAAATTGTCAGAATTATCGCATTGACACAGCGTTCATCCGCCCATACCAGTATCAGTTCATTTCCTTTAATTTCTTCAATGGTCTATGTATTGAAGGTATTGAAGTGTCGAAATATGTCGAAACTAAGATGCATTTTTTTTGGCGAATCATTGCATAAAAATGGCAGCCGTGTGAAGTTCCAAGGCAATGACAATTCCTCTCCAATGGGAACGTCGACAATGGTACCGGTGCATTTCACGCTGTCGCCTGACAGGTCGTGCAGTTCCTCTTACCGTTCATCATCCTTTCAAAACAAGGGCAGAACTTAGCCCGCAGTTGTTTTCCCTTCCATGGCCACCTCACTCACCATCCTCGACAACAAACATCACGTAGCATGACATGGTGAGATTGGCCACAGTTCATATTTCTGATTGTTTGTTGCAAAGTGCACCGGCTGTTGCATGTTGGCACATGAGGTACCTGGACATTGAACATAGATTCAAATAGACTGTCGTAACATGTTGTAATTTGCAGTCCCTAAACTATTCGGAGGAAACCTTCCACAATGGCGCGATCGTCTCCGAAAACGACAACACCGACATTGTCGGTCTCCTGAGCCAACAAGGTGTCATGAAAGGTCTTTTAAAATCATACCGAGTGTTACTGAGTATATTACATTTTGTGGTGCAAGGATGCATCCAATGATAAAACCATTTCTATCCATTTCTATCAATTGGTTTCAAAAATTACGGATTTATTACTTGATTTGTATTGATTTGTACTGTCTTTCTCTACATCGTAAATCGATCCCCGTTTCATGAGGGATGAAACTACAAAGGATTGCCTGAGTAGCACCACAGCGACCACAGCCGACCACAGCACCTGAGCTGTATGCCGCTGAGGCGCCAAGTTCAGAGCCATGCCCTTCAAACCGCTAGAGAACTCAACCATTTCTCCGGCCTGCCGCTGTCAGTCAAGGGTCATTTTCAATTGAACTACCCCTGCTGTCTGATTGTCAAAGGATGTCAAGTACCCTGCCTGCCAGGTGAGGGCCTCTAGGTTTTATCAGAGGTGCATCCCGCCCTTCTCCTACTTGTCCTACTTGTCCTACTTCTCCTCCTCCTCCTCCTTCTTCTTATTCTTCTTATTCTTCTTCTTATGCTTCTTATGCTTCTTCTCCTTCTTCTCCTTCTTTCTGCTTCTTCTCCTTCTTCTCCTTCTTTCTGCTTCTTGTCCTTCTTCTCCTTCTTCTCCTTCTTCTCCTTCTTCTCCTTCTTCTCCTTCTTCTCCTTCTCATCCTTCTTTCTGGTAACCTCGGACTGCGCCCTCAACTGCGAGCGCCAGATCTCAGTGGGCACTGCCGGGCCTCGCGGTTCAGATCTCAGTGGGCACTGCCGGGCCTCAACCGCGAGCGGCAGATCTCAGTGGGCAGTGCTGGCCCTCAACCGCGACCTCCAGATCTCAGTGGGCACTGCCGGACCTAAACTGCGAGCTCCAGACTCCAGATCTCAGTGGGCACTGCCGGACCTCAGCCAGACGCCAGAGAGAATGTCAGATAGAATGCCAGAAAGAAGGTTAGAATAGATGCCAGATAGAATGCCTGAAAGAATGTCAGAGTATATGCCAGAAAGTATGTCAGAATAGACGCCAGATAGAATGTGAGATAGAATGTGAAATAGAATGTGAGATAGAATGTCAAAGTATATGCTAGAAAGAATGTCAGATAGAAGATAAAAAAAATATGCCATATTATGCCATCTATACTTCCAAATGGTGTCAAAAACTATATCAGAATATATCAGAATACTGTTTGAGGGTGGGGACCACTCGAAGAAAGTAATTTGCAACTCAGTTTTTAAGTATTATTCTTACGGCCCGACAACCGGCCCAGCGATTTTGCGTTTTTTTGCGTTATGTTGGGGGGGTGGGATGGGGGGGTGTAATCACGTCCTGTGTCTACGTTATCATCGGTTTTCTTCGGTGAACACACTTCATGTTACGTTGTACACTTCTGTTGTACTTCGGTGACCGAACTTCATGTTACGTTGTACACTTCTGTTGTACTTCGGTGACCGAACTTCATGTTACGTTGTACACTTCTGTTGTACTTCGGTGACCGAACTTCATGTTACGTTGTACACTTCTGTTGTACTTCGGTGACCGAACTTCATGTTACGTTGTACACTTCTGTTGTACTTCGGTGACCGAACTTCATGTTACGTTGTACACTTCTGTTGTACTTCGGTGACCGAACTTCATGTTACGTTGTACACTTCTGTTGTACTTCGGTGACCGAACTTCATGTTACGTTGCACACTTCTGTTGTACTTCGGTGACCGAACTTCATGTTACGTTGTACACTTCTGTTGTACTTCGGTGACCGAACTTCATGTTACGTTGCACACTTCTGTTGTACATCGGTGAGCACACTTCATGTTATGTTACACACTTCTGTGGTACTTCGGTGAAAACACTTCAGGTTAAGTTGCACACTTCTGTTGCCCTTCGGTGACCAAACTTCATGTAATGTTGTACACTTCTGTTGTACTTCTGTGACCAAACTTCATGTTACGTTGCGCATCATCGTTGCGCACTTTCATGATATGTTGCACATGTCTGTATCTTCTGTTGTACTTCGGTGAACAAGCTTCATGTTACGTTGTACACTTCTGTTGTACTTCTGTGACCAACCTCCATGTTACGTTGCACACTTCTGTTGTACTTCGGTGAACAAACTTCATGTTACGTTTCACACTTCTGTTGTGCTTCGGTGAACACACTTCCTGTTACGTTGCGCACTTCTGTTGTACTTTGGTGAACAAACTTCATGTTACGTTGTACACTTCTGTTGTACTTCTGTGACCAACCTTCATTTTACGTTGTACACTTCTGTTGTACTTCTGTGACGAAACTTCATGTTACGTTGCGCACTTCTGTTGGACTTCGGTGAACACACTTCATGTTATGTTGCACACTTCTTCGGTGAACACGCTTGATGTTACGTTGCACACTTCTGTTGTACATCGGTGAACACACTTCATGTTACGTTGCACACTTCTGTTGTACTTCGGTGACCAAACTTCATGTTACGTTGCACACTTGCGTTGTACTTCGGTGACCAAAGACTGTGCGCCGTGTCCAGCGAGGCAGCCCAAAGGTGCTTGCCCATACTGGTGCAATAGATAATTGCTGGAAGGCCTGTAAAAAGATGCGGCCAGGTAGCCTGTCTAGCCAAAGTCCAATGACCATGACATATGTCAAGGCTTGGCTATGGCGATACATACATTGAAATGCTGATGTGTGTGATATCACTGCAAAGACGGTCCGCGAGTTGAAGTGATGGAAAAGAACCGCTGGCGCTGTGGCGAAACGCAAAACACAATGACACCACCATGGAGTGCCAAAAGACAATGAATAAATCCCAATGAAGTGCCAAAAGACACCACCATGATATAAACATGTGGCAAATGCCCTGTTTTCAACAAGACGGAAATCACAATGAACATGAAAATTGATGAAAACGCTGGGCCGATTTCCGGGCCGTTCGGATGTTTATGTAGTATATATAAATAATATATATATATGATATATATATATAATTATATATACATGATTATATATGTAGGATGTCGTCATCTTGTCGTCATCTTGTTATCATCGAAGTCCGCCCTTGCCTTGACACCCTTGAGGCCATAGATACGAGCAATACCATCACCCACTGAGAGCACTCGGCCCACTTCCTGGACATCCGCCTGGTCCTGTGCGTCTGCAATGCATAAGTGCAATGCATTTGGTCTGTGCAAGGTATCATAAGGTCGCGAGCCGACGCCGGAGTCTGTCTTCGGGAAAGTTGATCAGTTTTCAGCTTCTCTTCGTTAATCGCTTCAAAAGTTTGAGATGTTTGAGTTTCTGTCCATTATTGATGTTTCTGGACGCCGTGCATTGTGGTACTTCAAGGATCTTCACGTGGGGCTTCATGCGGCCTTGAAGTTGGCGATGCGCTCGCTGAGGATCTTGGTGAGCTCTGCAGGGCTCACCTTCGCTGCTGACCTCCGAGCAAACACAAAGGAACAAGCAGAAGTAAACAAACAGAAACAACAAGTAGCAAAAAAATGACAGAACCGAAACAACAAAGAAAATCAAACAAACCTTTTCAGCTGCCAAAGACGGCACTTACTAGGTGGGGTTCATGAAATCCCAATAGTTTCCTTGATGTGTGCCTTTAGCTTGCTTCAGTGATCTTCAATGTACAGAACTGGACTTGTGTTTCATGGTGTTTCATGGTTTCTGCTTCTGAACAGAAGGATATCAAACACGTTCAAGCAGTAAACTTGATCGATTCAAATAGATCAAGTAGTATATTATTCATGAATATCAATGAGTAGTACTATGTGTTTTTATTCATGAGCATACTCCCCCGGAATGATATGCCCGCCAGTCAAGCCCCTGGCACCAAGAGCTTGCGATGAATTTGAAAGGATCGATTCGTAAAGAGTCAAAAGAAGTGTAAACATCTCAAGAACCAGACTTTTTATTGGATTCATTTGGATTGGTTGATTGTTCTGTGTTTTCCTCGACTGCAGCCATGAACTTGGCAATATCAAGGCAACCGAACACATCCTAATAAAAATCCGAACTGGACTTCTTTTCTACTCGCTGTCAAGTACCTTTGGCCCAACTCTGAAAGTCTCTCGGCCCCACAGCCAAATTCAGCCAAATCAAATCATCTCGGAATCATCTCCCACAATTTTGCAACGGCACCTAGCTGCTGATGTGTTCAGCTGTCGGGTGGACAAGGTTGGCGCAGTGGCCAACCGCGGCAGCAGGCGATGAAGTGCGCGAGCCATGATTCTACGACCTGGGCATCAAAATGTCTGAAACCATCTGCCATGATGTGCCATGGCAATATGATGATTTGTACCATTGTTTTTAAAGTTTATACCATTTGCACTCACTATGTTGCCCCGAGCTGGAAAACCGCTGTAGCTAGATAAAGACTCCATTTTCAAATATATGGAAGCATGACAGTCTGCACTTTTGAGCCTTTCTCTACTTAATATGCCATAGGAACCATACAAATCAAACGGCATTACATGGCATTACATGGCATTACATGGCATTACATGGCATTACATGGCATTACATGGCATTACTGTTCTCAATAAATCCATAAATAAAATTATGCATTTTTTGTTTGTACTTGCACCTTCATTGCATCTTCGTCGGTAGAAGATCTTTTCTTGGCAAGTTGAGCTGGAACATCTGTGCGAGAAGCCTTCTACAAACTGCCAAATGTGTTGCCACCCCGCCGGCTGCCTGAGAATCTGTAAGAACCTTTTCTAGGCAAGGACCCTTGCTTCTAGCCACCAACAATGTTCAGATGCTGATCATGTGTATTTCATTGTTCTTTTGCCTCTATATGTCAATTATGTACGTACACAACACATACCACATGCATATATATATAATATACAGAGATGTGACTATATAATATGATTGATATACGTGTTATAATATCTATGTGTGTACACTACATATGCGTAATATGTATCTATTATATCATCAATAATGTAGCATATGGATATGGTACTATAAAATACATTAAAATACTATAAACACAGAGAGAGAGAGAGAGATGGGGAATCGTGTTGACACGTTGGCCCTTTGCAGTCCGAGCCTGGAGGGCAAAAAGCACCCGCTATGCCGCTATGCTCTGCGCACGGAAATTGATGCTTGGGCCAAAAGTTGTAGCGAATTGGCGCAGTCGTGGCTCCAGGCTCTCAGGACTCCCAGGGTCCAAGAAATTTTCGCCGCATTGCTTTGCAACTTCACAGACCTTATCAAACCTCAAGCGTACGGGACTTGTTTGAAGACAGTATCTTGAGGGTTCAGTGCCATAGTCTTCTTTGAATTCTACAGTAGCGATTCTAGTCACTCTGATGACTCTGATGTGACACTGCAGCAGGCCTGCAGTCCATCTCCAACAGATGGCCTGGTAGAAAAAAACAACTTGCAAAATCTTGCAAAGCCCCAATTCCTTGTCGTGCATAAGTTGCACACGATGCAGAAGATTACGAACTAAACTGACAGTGAGCTCACTCTGAGCCCCGCTCCCTTTGGCGTATCCTGTGCTGAAGATGCATTTGATCATCTTCAGATCATGTTGAGATCATCTTGAGACCATGTTGAGATCATGTTGAGATCATTTGAGCATGTTTGATCTCAACATGTGCTCACTGTTGCTGTCCTCCGTTTGAACCACGGGGTGGAGGTGGTGGCCTTACGTCAATCACTTGTGATCTTTTTTTGATCGGGATTTGTCAAATCAAGAGAAACTGTCTCAATAGTGCTGAGATGTTCAAACACATTCTACAATCATCTACAACCATCTCTCACTATGTAGCATCTAGGCTGTCCCTAAGCCAAGCACATAAGTCCAGGGCCCTGCAGTCCAGGACCTTGCCGGTCCAGCATTGGAGCGTTATCGGATTGGACATAAAGTAACTTCAAACTTCAAAGTCACTTCAAATCAAAACAAACAAAAAAAACAAGTTGGAACACCGAGCTCATCGAGCTCGAATGAAGTTACTGATTTTGTCTCTTGAATCTGCTCTTGGGAGCAGGCTGACTGCTTGCCTGGCTTGGTGAATAGCTGCCAAGACTGGAGGGCGCAAAACATGTTCCACTATTGCGAAGAAAACAATACTGAAATTTTGCTTGGCTTCTTGAACCCGGAATCCTGTTGGACCATTGAGCATGGGATGGGTAAGGAAAGCATCTTGAGCATTTCTTCATAATGAAGCTTTGGGCTGGCCTTCCTGTGCACATGCATGAAACACATACCTTCAAATTGACTTGAAAAAGCTGGGAAATCCCCAAACACCAGCGGACTCAGCAAACCCCGGATTTCTCGCCTTTGCACAACCTGAATTAGTAGCAGCTTTGTCAAATGAACCCAAACACTTTGGCGTCCCGAAGTGCAAGCTGACACTGCGCTTGGAGCATATGCTCAACTTCTTGGAAGGAGTGAACAATAGCTGCCAATAGCTTGCTTGCAAAGTGTTGAGAGTGGCAAATTCGTTCAAGTAGGTTTAAGCGGTTTAAGTCCCAAACGGGAGGTGGTCCACCTGCTGATAAATCGCAATCACACATTTGATCATTTGCAGTTGCCACTATTTCTGCCATGACTTCTCACAACTTCTCGCCTCCTTTCATCCCGTGGCCCTTGGCATCAATAAAGTGATGAATAAAGTTGGGATATGTTGGGATGTTCTACATTGTACATAGTTTCATGGAAGAAACCCACTGCTCCAAGCAAACAAGACAACCTGCGCAGGACCTGCGCATATCTGGGCTTCCAGCACGTCTTCCTAAAGCCTTTGTGTTTACCATCGCCTCAGTGCCGCGTCGAACAGACTCAGACTGGCTTTCAATTGAACATCTTTGTCCGGGGCCTAGAACTCTGACAAAGGACATTCGCACACCGACTACAAGCATAATTATATACTTACAATTAAAATTATACAATATAATTATATTATATTATATTATATTGTATGTAATGTAATGTACTGTAATGTAAAGTAATGCAATGCAATGCATGGATGTATGTACGCACACACACACATATATACTACGTCCGTATACATACACTATTTACGTGTATATTAATATATATATATATATGTAATATATGTATGTATATATATATATTGTAGAATATTTACTATATATATAATACATCGACAAAGCGATTTACTCCCTGGTACACGTTTGTTACACTGAGGTTCGTTCCCTTTGTACCGCTTCAGCACGGAGCTGTTGTGTTTCACCTCCATCTGGCCTTGGCGTTTCCCTGACCAATGTGGCCCCCTGGATGAGTTTCCTGGAGATTATGATAGATATGGATAGATTGTGAATATATTGTGCCTTAAACAGGGATTGAACCACACCTGGGTCACCTGGATTGATCTGGATTGAATATTCTGAATATTCTCATTGAAAAAAAAACATGAAAAAAGGAAGGCTGAAGCTTGCGGCACTGGGGCCAACTAATCAAAATGCGATGCACACACACACAAACACACACTACAAGCATTACCTGATATTACCTGATATTACCTGGGCATCCACACGGCAGAACAGGCTCTAGGCTAAGACCCAGCAGGAATTGTGCATGCAAAAGCGCGTAGCCTCAAGGATTTCACCGATTCTGACATAGTCTGACCACACATGTGACCCTTTGTATACCCTTTGTCCCCCTTTCCTCTGTGAAATATTGTGAAATTGCAACCAAATATAACCAAATGAAACATCATGAAATGCTTACATAATCTTACATATGCTTACCCACAAGTGCTTTGCAGTATTTGCAGCACCATAGCCCCTGACACAGCTGCGGATGCTCAAGGAGTGTGGCACGAGCCCGCTCAGGCCTCGGAGCTTTGTCTCCGACGATGTCTCCGACCCTCGTTGATTTTGTTGTACTTGCTCCCTTTTTTCCTCAAGCTCCCGGCGCAGCCTTTGCCAGCTCCTTACAAAGCACCCGTAGAGGCCTATTCTTCGTTCTAGAATTTAAAGGCTTTTGGAAAATCGAACTCGGCTATGCATTCCGGAATCAATCAGTTGTTTTGGTGACACGTCAGCATCTCAACATATCTCAACTGGATTGATCCTCCCACTTTGATTTAAACGGGCCGAAAGAATCCACACAATGTCTGGGAATTCCATGGAAATCCCACTTGAGAGATCTTGAGAGTGGGGAAGCCACGAATCAACTAGGAATACCATGGAACACCAACTTTGCGGTCAGAACAAAACATCCTGAGTGCAGTCCTTTTCTGTCCTTTTCTACACATTACGATCTTAAGTGCAGTCCACACACATGTCCATGTTGCTACATGTTGCTACTGATTTCATGTCCTCGGTTCGCCCTGTACTGTTGGCTCCTGCATAGTGCCCAAGCAAAGCTGCAAGTGCGCCTCACAAGAACGCAGCATTTCAAACATTTCAAATTAAAGGAAGTCTCCTCTTCTCTCTCTCTCTCTCTCGCAATATCATAGGCAAAGCAGCTATCTGCTGCAAAGGACATTCTCATGTCAACAAGCATCAGCAGCCTGTGGCATGGCCGCTACCGTTTGGGCAATCTGAGTATGAGCACTCACCTCGGGAACAAGATATTTATCCTGCATGCATGATGAAAGTCTTCTCTCTGATAAGCGCATGCTAAGTCTTTGGGTGGAGTCTGAAAATAGTAAGTCTGGAAAGGACTGCGCTTTTTCAATTATGTGTTCATATCTTTTTCATGTGCTCACCTGGATCTGTAAGATCTGTAGATTGTAGATTGCATGCCTAAGAAGATGTACAAGTACTATCTTGTGGTCCAAGTTGCCGATGCCATGATGACATCTGCTGATGCATTCCTAAGCCGGTAACAACTTACAAGCACCAAAGCTTCTGGCTGTTTTTGGGGCAGAGATCAGAGAAATGCGTGTCTCCAGTCTTGTCATGTCGTCAGCCAATGTTACTTCTATGTGAAGTGTCCAAACAGTAGCAGCGAGCGGTTGAACCCGGAAATTAAAACAGTCTGGCAATGTCTCACAAATTGTCTCACAAATTCTCCCAAGCGCGTAAAGCGCTGTGATCCTTGCAGCAAGGTTTCGGATCTGCTGCAGCTGCTGCAGCTGCTGTGGCTGGATCCACCTGCCCTGCACTGCGCTTTGATCAAGGGCGGGTTTGGACATGTCAGGCCTTCTTTGAAAATACGAGATACATACAGCAATTAGTGGATATGAGTCATATGATTACACCGCATTTGTCTGTAGTACACACATGAAACAAATGAAAAACAAATGCGTGAGGGATGTCCTTTCATCATCATCATCATCATCATCATCATTATTTAGTATATATATATAGTTTTTTTTGCAAATATTGCCTGGTCCCACGACTCTCTGCTCAACGGTGTTCTTGCGTGACGGCTCCTATTCGACCATTTCTCCATGAGAAAGGCACCTCAAAGCCACCCCAGTGGCATCCAGTGGCCCTCTGCGGGACTGTGAGACAGTTTTGAAACTGATGGAGTCACTCACAAGGCATCACCTCAGGCCTCAGGAATCAATAAACCAACAGCATCCAACAGCTACAAAGACAGCCGGTTCACAGCTGACACACCAAAGAAACATAACAAACATGCATCTGCAATGCATTTGCAACGCATCATTCCGCATCTGTCGATTCACTGTCAGCTTTACCAGGCCGCGACTTTCTGAATGCCCCTGAGCAAATCTTCGCCACAGGATCCCAGCAGCAGAGCCACCTTGGTCGGCAATGACTTTCCATTGAGTCCATGACTCCTATCCTATTTTGCCACTCAAACAACTGCAAAAGGACATGCAAAAGCCACTTGCAAAACATGCAATAACATGCAATAACTACAGCCAAAACATCTGGGAGTGATGCAAAGGTTGTTTCTGCAAGCCTAGCATTTCTTGTGACCTGTGCATCTTGCCAACAGAGACTGCACAATTTTGTCTTTTTTGCCTTCCGCGTTGGAATGTACCAACAAGCGACAGCTTGACAACGTGGACTTTGAACGGACAATGATTGATCCCTCACGCGCTTGGCCAATCGGCAAATCCCTTGGCACTTCAGTTTAGATGAAAAACATCCAAACAAAGTTTAGTAAATACATGTACATACTAAATACAGTGGTTGTGTCCAATCAAGAAAAACTACTTCCCTGTCTACTACAATTATACCTTCCTTTCCCATCATGGGGCTTTGCCTACTTTGGCTCAAGGAGGCTACAGGTCGCAGCTCATACTCTGGGGAGAGAAAGTATGGCGCAACAAGAAAAAACAATAGCCATCAATAGCCTCCTGTACTGTACAGTCTCGGGATGTCTCGGGGAGACCAGGATACATATCAAGTTGCTGAGGCGCCCTTAATCCCATATTGCAGCATGAAAATACAATGAAAAATCCGCAAAGCTGACTTCCATTGACTTCCCACATACTTGTGCAATCCACAGTTGCAAAATTTTGCAAGAACGTGCATCTCTGCAATGATCACCTCCCAAATGCTGCAATACTAAGATTAAGGAACACATGGCTTGCAAACTGTGTGGAGATCGAATTTCCTCCGAATCTGCACACTGCACCATGAAACATTCATTATCATGCATTGCTGCTCCTGCTCTTTCGAAGTTTCTGGTGGCAAAATGGGTGACTGACAGCAAACAACTGACGGAGATGATCAAGTATTTCCAAATGATCCCCGGCATGACCTCGCACAATGCACTGAGAAGGGAGAAGCAATCAGCGTTCCCACAGGAACACATAACTACGTATTGCAAGGAACATTGCATCACCATGATGGTGATATTACGTTGCCGACTAGGAAAATCGGCGTCTACACACCCTGGTTCGACGATATAAATCTCATTTGGACAAACCCAAAGCAGGGACCTTCGCAGTTGAGAATACGAACATTTAGGATATCACTAGAAGAAGTTAGTGCCATGAGTTGAAGGAGAAGTGCATGATATAGCATGAATCATCGTGAATCATCATGATACTATTTGTACGCATATGAATCGGCTAAATGAAAGGAACTGCTTCGGAATAAGTCAGGCAGAAAGCCGAAGCATGACGAAGCTATGTTGCATAGCCTCAGCCACTTAGACTTCAGCCGTTTTGCTATCACCAAACTCTTCCAGCCTGGCAGAGAGCCATCTGTCGGTCCATGTCGATCCAATCAGTCCTGCAAGATCCTACAAGTGGTGTAACAATTGCGACAATGGAACTCTCAAGATCTCACCAAACTGCACGATTTCTCATTCTTGTTTGACTTGTTTGCTTTCAAAACAGCAACCTACCCTTGCCTTTCCATAGATCGCAGTACAAGTGAAGGAGGTCTGATTGAAACTGGGTCTTCACCAAGAGAGGTGCCTCAGAGAAATGAGAAAACATAACACACATCCACTGACCCTTGTTCTGTATGGGCCTTCGCGAAGGGTTATGTTCAATGTATTTCAAGATATTTCAAGGTCCTGATTGCCCGCAAAGGTAGCTCTCCCTCTCTCCCTCTCTCTCGCTTTCTCGATAGTATTTACATTGGTCAACATCTCCCATTCAAGTATTCAAGCAGGTGTGATATTTTGGGATACTGCAAGATACTGGAACAAGATACTGGAAGTTTGAAAGCCTCGAGCTTTCTTGGATTTGAATGATTTGATATGCAAATCATTTCCAAATCCTTCTGATTTCAGGCTAAGCCTGTCGCTCTGTGTACCCACTGAGTCGACGGGATCCACAGTGCCTCAAGAATTTTGACGGTGTGCGTTTGGAGAGGGCCAAGATGGGCCAAGATGGGCCAAGGGAAAAATATGTCTGCATCCAAGTGCATCGACGTATTTTTACAGAAGACTAGAAATCCGAGACCTTGAGGGTTTGCTCTCTCAAAGCAGTACTAATGCACGACTATATAATGCAGCCATCTTAAAGGTCCGGCCGTTCACAGGCAATATCATACAACAGACTGTTTAACAGACTCTATATGATGTAAATCATGGTACTGTAAACCGATGTAATATGACAAACCGAACAACACACAGAATGACGATGAAATTCTTTGAGCACCAAAATAGCATCGTTTAGCGCTTTAGCGTTTCTGTTTGAACTCGCCTCCGCTGCCCAGGCCAGCTGCCCTCATCAGCAGCAACGCATCCTTGGTTCAGGAAGTCGATCACAACACATGATATCTGGCTATGTCTGGCCTAAAGTAAGAAAAACTATGAACAACCTATATACATTATATTACAGTACTATATATATAGTACCATATAACTATATAACCCAAATCCAAAACCTCAGGAACGTGGTCAATCGTAACCAATAATTTGCGCAACCACCACAAACCAAGACTTACATGTGGTCCACTTGCACAAGTACAGCCCAATGTTTGCAAGAAATCGAGACGTGCTGATGCCTCTTTGAGGGCATCTCTTAATTCTTGGTTCAAAACACCTGGAATCTTGCAATCTCTTGGAGTCAATCTTGCAATATTTGCAATCAATATTGTCTTGTTTCTTGTCCCATCTTTTCCCATTCGAGTTGTTGAATTTGCCTGTCTACTGTTGAGCCAAGGTTCCACGACTTGTGTGTTGATTCCAAGCCTCGGACTCGGACTCAACAACCTGCCTACTGCCTACACATCGGTCATCTTTGCATTGCTAGATTAGAGTGAAAATTAGTGAAACATATAGTATGACATATAGGACAAAATGAAAAAAGCAATTCAAATGAATTTAAAAATGATTCGTAACACGATGTCCTGATGTCTCCTACTTTCGCAATGCAGCTTTGTCGCCACGAACCTAATTCTCGCACAACGTTGTCTTCAGAACCTCTGAGCTCCTACAAGACGAGTCTGAGTGATTTGCAGTGCAGGATGACATTGATGACATAACACGACGAAACCGCAGAACAGCATAGAACAGCAAGATCCTATAAGATCCTAATCATCATTCACAATTCATTTACCAGCATGAAAATCATGAAATGATGCGGATCATTTTTGGCTGACATCCACTACATTATGAACCCTTCAAGCTGAAGCAGGCTGCAGCAAGGCTCCATGATGTTTGTTCTGAGCTTCCTCAGTAGTGACATGTCAGTTTCGTGACCAGCTCACAATCGTGCTATCTGTCACCCACCGTATTCTCTTCAGCTCTAACTGACCAACTCCACAACTCCACTACATGTTCAAGCTAGAGACTTGGATCACCCAAATGCAAAATTTCTACCACGAAAAGGATGAACGTTTTAGTACTACGCTTCTATTGGGGAACTTTTCAGGCATTTCGCCATTTCGTTTTTGACAAGGTGCAGCACATTCTGCCTTCTCTCTGCCTGCTTTTGTTTTTGCCTCAAGTCAACAATAACAACTGCGTTTTTTTGCTTGGTGATAAACAAACGCGAATCCAAATATACTTTGTCTCTGCATCATTGATTTTATCATGAAATTTCACTAGAAACATCACTCTCGTCTCCTTTCTCCAATTTTCCATCCATCACATTCTACATATTTTACTTCGCACATCTGGCCAAACTTTCAGAAATCCTTAACTTGCTGCGTTTCGACACTTTCTCACCAAGATGCTTTCTGAGACGGTTAGCCGTCTTGTACGCTCTTCTTCTCCGTGCCACTGACCTCAGGGCGGCCGGTAAACATCGGTAAACCACGATTCTCCAGCAACGTACAATGCAGCAGGATGAATACAGTCTTAGAATATCTTACATATTTCTTACACTATCTTTGTGTTGCAAACTCTCATTGCACAAGTTTTGTCAGTCTGCTTTCATAGCAATGACTTGTGTCCGCGTAAATCGTCTGTGGGGTGGTTGAAACAAAGGAAACACATTGCATAATTCTGACATCTCCAAATATCTGCAAAATCCAGTTTTCCCCCAAAGAGTGTGTCCACAATGAGGGGTTCTTACGGTAAGTGTAAAGGCCGGTGCTTGATCAGGGTGCTCACTCTGGTCTCGTGTTTTTTTTGGTAAATTTCCGTAAAAGGTGCCTCTTGTGAAATGTTGACATGCATTTCGACTGCGCACGCTCGCACAAACTGTGGGCCGCGGTTTTGGGCCGTGGCATTTTGCCTGCCAATTTCCGTATGACGTGGCTCTTGTGAAATCTCGAAATGCATTTCGACTGCGAAGGCTCGCGCGAAGTCTGCGCCGCGGTTTTGGGGCCCGGCATTTTTCCTGTAAATTTCTGTATAAATTTTGAAGTGCAGTTCGACTGCGCAGGCTCGCACAACGTCTGCGTCGCGGTTTTGGGCCGCGTTTTCCTGTAAATGACCGTGTAAAGGGGCTCTTGTGAGCTGTTGACATTTCGACTGCGCAGGCTCGCGCAAAGTGTGGTCTTAGGTCTTGGGAACGGTCCTCCTCCTCAACATCATCATCCCCGACATCATCATCTTCCTCCTCCTCAACATCGTCATTCTCAACATCATCATCTTCCTCTCCCTTCACATCTGCATCCTCAACTTCATCATCCTCCACCTCATCTTCCGCAACATTATCATTCTTTTCATCATCCTCCTGGTCCTCAACATCATCATCCTCAACATGATCATCCTCAATATCATCGTCCGCATCATGGTCATCATTCAATCAATCAATCAAATCAATCAAATCAACTCAATCAAACAATCAATCAAATAATCAAATCAAATCATCAATCAATCAAACCATCAATCAATCAATCAATCAATCAATCAATCAATCAATCAAAAGCAATCAATCAATCAATCATTCATCCATCCCTCCGTCCATCCATCCATACATTACATCCATCCACCCACCCACCCACCCAGGCATGTATGCATGCATACATACATACAGTACATACAGTACATACAGTACATACAGTACATACAGTACATACAGTACATACAGTACATACAGTACATACAGTACATACAGTACATACAGTACATACAGTACATACAGTACATACAGTACATACAGTACATACAGTACATACAGTCCATACAGTCCATACAGTCCATACAGTCCATACAGTCCATACAGTGCATACAGTCCATACAGTACATACAGTACATACAGTACATACAGTACATACAGTACATACAGTACATACAGTACATACAGTACATACAGTACATACAGTACATACAGTACATACAGTACATACAGTGCATACAGTGCATACAGTGCATACAGTACATACAGTACATACAGTACATACAGTACATACATGCATGCATACATACATACATACATTAATACACTACATACATACCTTCCCATACCATACCATACCATACTATACATTACATACATTACATACACTACATACACTACATACACTACTTACACTACTTACACTACATACACTACATACACTACATACACTACATACACTACATACACTACATACACTACATACATTGCATACATTGCATACATTGCATACATTGCATACATTGCATACATTGCATACATTGCATACATTGCATACATTGCATACAGAGCATACAGAGCATACAGAGCATACAGAGCATACAGAGCATACAGAGCATACAGAGCATACACAGCATACACAGCATACAGAGCATACAGAACATACACAGCATACACCGCATACACCGCATACACCGCATACACCGCATACACAGCATACACTGCATACACTGCATACAGACCATACAGACCATACAGACCATACAGACCATACAGACCATACAGACCATACAGACCATACAGACCATACAGACCATACAGACCATACAGACCATACATACCATACATACCATACATACCATACATACCATACATACCATACATACCATACATACCATGCATACCATACATACCATACATAACATACATAACATACATAACATACATAACATACATAACATACATAACATACATAACATACATAACATGCATAACATGCATAACATGCATAACATGCATAACATGCATAACATGCATAACATGCATAACATACATAACATACATGTCATACATAACATACATATATAACATACGTACGTACATACATACCAGTACATACCAGTACATACCAGTACATACCAGTACATACCAGTACATACCAGTACATACCAGTACATACCAGTACATACCAGTACATACCAGTACATACCAGTACATACCAGTACATACCAGTACATACCAGTACATTACAGTACATTACAGTACATATTACAGTAGATTACAGTACATTACAGTACATTACACAACATACTTTACATAACATAACATTACATAACATAACATTACATTACATTTCATACATTACATACATTAATACATACATTAATACATACATTAATACATACATTAATACATACATTAATACATACATTAATACATACATTAATACATACATTAATACATACATTAATACATACATTAATACATACATTGCATACATTAATAACATACCATACCATACCATACCATACCATACCATACATACATTATCCTCTCACCCACCCACACTGTTTGGGGTCTCTTGCCGGGATAATGTGTATAGTTGTCTATGGGAAATCTCTCACCGAATGTAAGCAGCACATTCTTGCAACAACTTAAAGCATTTAAATGGTGGTAATTTGCTTTCTTGGCATCTCCTGTGATCTCGTGCTGTCTCTGACCATCGCCTCCAACCAGAAATGCTGCTCCAGTTTGCTCACTGCTTCATTGCCATGGGGCTGAATATGGACAACACAGTGGATGAAAGCTGCATAGTCCTTGTTGCTGATGTTTGAGCAACGCGCCTGAAGCACATTTACTTTTGCTTGCAGAGTCGCACGAACTTGTCTTCAAAATGATTCAAATGTCTCAAAGGTTTTACAGATCTTTACGGATCTTTAAAGACCTTTACTAATCTTTACAGATCTTTACAGACCTTTACGCTCTGTCACATAGCTTCAACGTCTCAATGTAGACTCATAATTCCATGTAGCTGTCCATGGATCTGTCACCGCAAGCATTGCTGGTGAAAAGCTGGAGTTACATTGCTGAGGACTAAAGGAAACTGTTCAGAACTTCAGTGCATTGTCACTGAGGTCGGAGCGTCGCACATGTAGCTCAACACAAAGTCACGGCTCGCCTTCCGATTTTCACTGGCTATTTTAAGCTCTTGTGATCGTTATTCGCACATATTCGCACATAGTTTCAGTAGGGAGGGGGTTGGGATCTCCCTTCTCTAGGAGGTCCATGGGGTTCTAGACAAAGGTTCACTATGCAGAACTTGTCTTGTAAGGAGAGCAATCGGGAAATCTACAACAAAGTCTATGATTTCCCACAAAACCTTGGATCTAAGTTCGAGTTATACAGAGAGCTAAAACCCTTCGTCAGTTTGCATGCTGTGGCACGCTTTTGAGTCTTCAGCTTGTAGGGTCTCAGGCTGGTTTCTGCTACATGCTGACATGAGCGATATGATCTTGTTGCTACTATCACGAGTTTCCTCTCTTAAATCCCGTATCATGGCACTGCGAGGCAACACAAATATCCACTGGTCTCTTGTGATATATTGGACACATTTTGAAATACTTTGAAATACCTTGATTGATCGCCAGCCTGAGGATGAGTGCATCTCACATGTACTACATGTACCCAAAAATCCATCATGTCATATGTCATATCCCATTCCTCTCCTCGTATTCACGGCCTTTAGCATCCAAAATGCAAGGACCTAAATACCTGAGGCCCCCAGAGTTTGACAAGAAATTTCAAGACAGCACTACTGGAATTTATTCCGTATTAATCATGTGAGGCACGGAATTGAACCTCATTGCTGCTGAAAGATAAGGATCACATCTGCCAGAGCAACATGTGCAACTAGAAGACAAACGAATCAAACAACACTATCAAGAATGTCTATGCACGTACTGGAAACAAACGAATAAGAACATGAACAATTCATACGCAAGGAGAAATGCATGTGTGGTTAAATCGGTTAAAGTCTCTCTACTGAAAAAAATATACATGTACTTCCGCCTTGCTTCGGATACTCAGACTCTGGATATGCATCTACAAGGGATTAACGGTCAGCACCATGAAATGTCACATGTTCCAACTTGTTCCAACTTGCCAGGTGGCCAATGGTAGAACTTCAAGAAATTCAGAGCTGCTTCCTTGACCAAACTTGAGGCTAGACGGCTAGACATGCGGCTACCGAAATGTAGGGCTAACCAGCATGTGTAGATGTTTCATTCCGTGATGCTTGCAAGCACGTCCTTATTGTCAAAGTGAACTTGGTTCGACAGCAAGAGCTCTTTGACAGAGACAGGTCCACGATCAAGCCGATGAACCTTCGCCATACACAAACGTCATAAAAACCGTTGCATCATGAAATAGTGAGCGCACGTTCATACATATAACAAGTACCATATGTTCTCCCATGTGGAAGTCTGACATAGCCTGACACAAGGCTCTGATCCCCTCTAATCCCTGAGGAATCACTAAAGACATGCTAGAAAACAATCAGCTGGACAGATCCATTTCCTGAGGATATCTGAGGATATACGAAGATACGTGAGGGTATATATATATGAGGAGTCTTTGGGCAGGCACCCGGTCCAAATTTTCATGAGATAAACATGCCATTGGTTGGGGCTTGGCCAGGATTGGTTTCCCACACTCCCACAGCCAGCCTATGCTGCTGTGGGGACATGTTTTGTCTCAGTCCGCCGGACATGTTTTTCTTGATTCGACAAATACTGTGCATTCTACCATTCTGAGGTAATTCTGCAGGACTGACACACGGAACGCCCAAATGTCGCTGTTGTTGAAAGCATACGTGTATCACAATTTGGGCAATTGGCTAAAATTTTCCTCGGGGCAAGAGCACCCAACTTTCTAAGTGCTTGCAGGTGCACGGACATGTCAGGGTCAATAGAAAGGGACACAATATTATGACATATTATGACATTTGCACGAAACCAAACCTTTTTCAAAGGCAAAGAAACGCGTTTCCGAATATGTGCATCTATTCAATCTATTCCCATGAGTTTCCACTCCTTGATCTCAATCAATGCTCAATGCGTATCTTGAAGGCTTGAAGGACCCTGAGCTGCCCAGTCCGAAGCCTCCAGGTGCTTCATCACTGCTAGGGTAGATGGCCAACCGTGTTGAAAGGCCAAAAAGCGCCGAGTCTTAGGGCTGCGGGGGTCACTATCGAAATGTTAGGATGTATAACGTGCATATGAGTGCTCATATTAACATACATGTATCACTGCAGACTGCATACAAAGGACGTGATAACATAATGAAACATACGAGTACTATACTATACGATACAATAAACATATAGCACAGTAGAATACAGTATAGTATAGTATGTATAATATTATATGAAATAATACGACCTAAATATAAGAAAGTATGCAATTAAAAAACTATGTAATACAATTAAATATAGTATTATTGTCAAATATAACATAATGAAATACTGTCCAGTGAAATAAAACAAAGGATGACAAAACGTAATTTGATAGAATAGAATATACTAAAATATAGTTTGATATCATACAATATAATGTGATATAGTGTGGTATAGTATAGTACAGCACAGTACAGTAGAGTATAGTGTGGTAAAGATAATTTCTTTTGGTACAATCAAAGAAAACAACATCTAATTTGATATAATATAATATGATACAGTTTGATAAAATGAAAATAGAAAACATTTAATCCAGTAAAACATAATATAATAGGGAAACAATCTAGCAAACAAATATATTAATTAATATGATGTAACATTAGTATCAATGTCATATCAATAATGTCAATGATATCAGTATTATACAAAAAAAACAATAGAACTATATATCATATAATTCACAATATATATACATATAATACATGATATGATTTAACATGATACAATACAATAGCAGGCATCGGGTTAGAAAATCTCTACAAAGGACGCCATGGAGCATCGAATTACAGTTTCTTGGCGCAAAGTCGCAAAATCACCTGATAGATATGGAAGCGTTTGCCTGTTGGAGGCCGAATATTTGAAAAACACCGTCAACTGGTCTGGAGTTCTGCCGAGCCACACACAAGGAGAAAAGGTCCGGGAAAAGACTCCGCACCTCTTGTCTTGAATCAGTCTCCTAAAAGCCGAGAAAAACTCGTGTTCTACTGGGCCTACGGCAACACGGTTCAAACGGCACAAAACAGTGGCAAACACAAAACATGATGCTCACACATCTATGTAAACTAGCTGCTTGCTCCGCACCTGCCAGGTGGCGGTCTCTAGATTTTAACAAAGCATCCCGCTGCTCCTTCCTTCCCTCCCTCCCTCTCTCCCTCCTTCGTGCCTTCCTGCCTGCCTTCCTGCTTCCCTCCCTCCCCTCCCGGCTTCTTTGCCAGCAGATCATCGCTAGCTTCATTGCCAGCCTCTTCTACGCAGCCACTCTATCGCCAGCTCGCCAGCTCCCGGGGCATCGAATGCAAGATAGAAACTGATAGAATGTCAGGTTAAAAAATGTCGAACTATTGTCAGAAATTATGTCGGATAGTTTGTCAGTTGGTGGGGATCATTCGAAGAAAAACATGTAGTTTTTCCAGTATATGTGTGCCTGTGTCTCTGTGTGTCTCTGTGTGCCTCTGCGTGTCTCTGTGTGTCTCTGTGTGTCTCTGTGTCTCTCTGTGTGTCTCTGTGTGTCTCTGTGTGTCTCTGTGTGTCTCTGTGTCTCTCTCTCTCTCTGTGTCTGAGTGTCTGAGTGTCTGTATGTCTGTGTGTTTGTATGTCTGTGTCTGTGTGCCTGTTGGCGCTGCCTGGCTGCCTGACTGCCGCCTGCCTGTCTGTCTATCTATCAATCTATCCATCTATCTATCTGTCTATCTACCTACCTACCTACCTATCTACCTATCTACCTATCTACCTATCTACCTATCTACCTATCTACCTATCTACCTATCTACCTATCTACCTATCTACCTATCTACCTATCTACCTATCTACCTACCTACCTACCTATCTAGCTATCTATCTGTCTATCTATATCTATCTATCTATCTATCTATCTATCTATCTATCTAAAGGCCATGCGCTGGAAGTGATGACATCGATGCCTCTTAAATAATTCAATAACCTTTGATGCATTTCTCGTGCCCAAACTGTATCTGAACGCTGAACAAAGCATTGAAGGAGCTCGACGAAGCAGGACTCGCGATGGCTTGCCCTTGCTTTGTACCACTTGCGTCTGTCTGCGTGTGCAAATGTGTGTACGAGTGCATGCTGCATGCATGTACGCATACACATGTCTGCAACTATCTACCTAAGTATGTAGTGATTATATTGCACCACATCTCTGGTTTGATGGCCTCTCCTGCTTCACTCGCAAGAAACTCTCCACAATGATGGCGAGGAGAATGTTTAAGGACACCAGGAAGAGCAGGAAAGTGTACCTGTTCCCACTGAAGCTCCCACGCGAAACTTGACATACCGCACAGCAGCCAATGCTCTATATAAAGCATCCTTGGCAAGGCAAATCGAAGGACGAGGCTGGCAGAAAGCCTCCAAGCACCAGGGCACAAAACATACCACACCTTTTGCTTCCAACCTTCCGTCCACTCATCCTCGAAAGCAGGACTGTACGGCTGGAAATACATACGCAGCAACCACAACAGAACAGTGGGAAGCAAGGAAAGGTTGCAAAATCACTCTCATGGAGTGTTCTGAGACACAGCAACAGGAAGGCAATTCAATGAACCAAACAGCTTTCTGCAGTTCATCATGTTCTTCTTATCTTGTGCCAAAATCCAATGAATCATACATGTCCAGAGTATTGTTTATATCACATAGGCGGAGACGTGAATCGTGCTAGAACTTAAGTTTCAAGGTTCTGTACCAGTTCTGATCCAGTTCTGTATTCTTACACTAGTGTCCTGTACTTGCACTGGTTACACATTTCCAAATGCTGCATTTTGCTTGGTAGGTCCTCGAACGGGTACTCTCCGATCAACATCCTTGGGCTTCTCATTTTGCTAATTCTAGACTCATAGAACAAACATGTTGCGTTTGAACAAGTCACGGCAAAAGAAGTTCGTCATATTGCGCTCTATATCTTGACACTGCAAAAAATCCTGCAAACCTGTCACGCAAGCATGTCATGCAAGCACGTGCGTTGTTTCAAGTACTGTCGTCCAACTTTATGGCGAGCTGCTGGAAGCATGTGTTGGCAGAAGTGCGCAAAGAGGAGAACATGATCCTTGCACTGCATTCAGAAAGGCAGCTTCTTGAAAAATAGCGTTACCACAAAAACATGAGGTCAATATTAATTATGATTAATAAAGATAGGTCAAGGGTAAAAGAGACGGGTGCCTGTGGTTAACTGATTAAGCAACCGACACTCCGACATACTACAAAAAGATAATCAAGATCATCAAGTATCACAATACGCCACATTGTGGGAGCTTTTCTCATACTCAGAAGTGCTACCAGCATCTCGCTGCCAGTGCCAAGGAGCTTGTCTGGGCCGAATGACCAATGTGCCAGCCAGGCCAATCCTGTGAATATCAGCCTGAACCACTTTGGTGCCACAAAACCAGACTGATCTGAACGTAAAATGATCCAACTCAAGCGCCTTGGGACAGGAGGCTATAGGTTGAGCTATGCATGGTTTCGAAATGTTCCGAAATTGCGGGTTTGGTGTTCAACAATGACCATGTTCGAACTGTTCGCCATTGCTTGCAGCCCAGTCGACAGGAAAATCAGGCAGAAGTGGAACATATCTCCAGAGGCAGCTTTGACTGTGCGAGCGATCAAGTCCACGCGTGGATGCACTTCCATATATTGAATGAGTCCTTGGAAGATCTTGGAAGGGCTGAAGCCGTGCTGAACAGCTGGTGCAAGCCACCTCTTCTGGCTCTTGGGCATCTGAATGCACCAAGAATGCACCAAGAATGCACCAAGAATGCACCAAGAATGCACCAAGAATGCACCAAGAATGCACCAAGAATGCACCAAGAGTCTCAAAAGGCACATGAACACCAGGACGTAGGCAAAGATCTTCATCATCTCCTGCAACGAGAAAACCCTTGAGATCCTCTTGAGATCCATCAGCCACAAATTGTTGGGAAGATCGATCTCGTTTTCGATTGTGCATGTTTGTCACCGGCGAGCAGTGTCCAACACCCTCTGTCAAGTTGATAGAAATTCCCATAATGGGTCATAATGACCCCCGAACAAAATAAAGTTGGTAGAAGAATTATCGTGTATAATCCCCCAAAATAAATGCATAATCAACCAAGGGTTGGTTACTGCTCAGATTGCTTTTGGGTGTCCCCCCCCGCTTTGACTTGTACCAGTAGCCACTTAGAGGCAGAAAGTTCAAAGGCAAAGAACTTTCTGTTCAATCTGAACAGGCCCGGTTTGATTGGTAGCAATGCATACCAGTGTGCAGTATGCGTACGTATTTATCACATACGTGGAGTCTTTGAGTGGCCCCCTGCAGGCTTTTAGCACGTACTTGGAAGATGCATTTTAGCCGCCATCAACAGATCAGTCGCATGATATCAAAATTGAATGTGTTTGCTATATATATACATATATATACATATATATATATACATGTGTATATATATATACACATATGTATATGTTCATATTATATCATATTGTTCTCGATGGTTGGGAGGAGAGGTATCACACGTCACACATTGACGAATCCTCAAAAGTCTCCTGCTGTGACACGGTGGCATTGATCATGCTCAGAGTCTGAAACGAGCCATTGATGACCTTCTCTACCGTCTCTCTGCTGGTTGGATCCTCCTTGACGTGGAAAGAACGTGAACCAAAATCCATCAAGAAACATCAAGAATCATCTGAATCTCAATCTGTTTCAATACTACCCCCCTTTAACAGCAAATACACTGAGCACCACTGAGCTATATACCCAATGCTTTACCGAGACACCACAGAGATAATTTGGGTCACCAAAGAGAGAAGCCCTGTCATGGTCCTAAGAACACTTTGCTCTGTGTTGCCACGGCAAGTATCATCATCACTACATTGTCTACGATTTTTGGTACTGACGGGCTATGGACTATGGATTCTGTCGGAAGCAAAATCTCCAGTGTCTTGTTCAATCTCGTGTTCAGTGTGTCATTCAATCCTGTGATCAATTGACACACAACAACTATACATTGAAAAAAATGAAAGCCTTGCCTGAAGACTCCTGGATGTTGGCACGTGTGCTCAGCCAAACCGGAGTACAAGATAGTACAAGTATGTACAAGAATATAATTGGCAAGGACGTGTTTTCTTACGCTAGTTGGTCCGTCATTCTTTCGCTTTCCACCAAGTGTCTGATCTTCACTCACTGTGCGGATGAGAAAGTCGATGATACCAAATACTGTAAGCCTTTCGGAAGAAAAGAAAACTTAACGGTGAAAAACCTTGCACAAAATATAAGAAAACGACTTGTCACAACTTTACTCCAACATACTCCAATGGACCCATTTGCACAATTCATGCTTCACGCTGATTCGCTGACATCCAGTAAAGCAAGGAATTTACACTGGAGCATGAGAACTATTAATGTCAATCCAACTCTAATTCTTGAGTTTACACATGTTGGCAGAGCAAGGATACCACTAGAGCCCAAGTCAGGAGCAGAAGCAGGTTAAGCAGCAACGGCAACCCAATGTCATCAGAATGACATCCAGGCAATCTGTGATGCAGGCTCTATGCTTCGACATGTAGCAGCAACCCAGAACAAGCGCTCAAGGGGGGCCCTGGTCTGCTGCAAGAGCTTTAGAGCTAGCTTTGCTACCAGTAGAAACACAAAGGAAGCCGCACCATTACTATCCTACGAATAATTACAGTATAAAACATATTAAATATTGTAGATTCATATAAACATGTCATGCATAAATCTCATCCTGATGGTGTAGTACGGTGCAGTGTACCGTCTTTGGTGGCTGGCAAGATGGCGAAACAAAAAAGTGTACTGAAGCTGCTTGACTCGGAGATGAATGGCGGCAACCGGTAAGAGTGGCAAATTCTGAAAATGATCCGGAGATTGATCCGTACCAAGGCTACAAGGCTAGCAGCAATGATATATACATATATATATATATACATATATTAAATCTATGGAACTGAGATCAAATCTTGAAGGATCAAAAACAGACACAAACCGGCTTGCTGAAAGGCCTCCTGGAACGTCTGCAGGTCGGACAGCAAGAAACAGCGAGAGAAAGAGAGAGAGAGAGAGAGCTTTGGGATGCTTTGGGCATGTCAATGTGCGGCTGAGACACGCTGCTGTAAGGAACGTGTCGTAGGTCATCTTGCGTTTTTCTTTGACCTCAGCGCAATCTGAGGGAACGGCAGACCTATGGTTGCTTCCAGGCAGCGGATGGCTTCAGAATGTTAGGAGCATCCATACTCTCACCCAGGTCTTGGCTTCCAACCCGAACACATCTCACAAGGACCAAACAAAGTCTTGAGCCCATCAGTGCCAAAAAGACACACCTCGTCAAAGGGATACGATCGGCACAAAATTAAACTTTCACAGAAAGAAGAAAAGGAACAAGAGAAAGCATTGAACATCTCTGCCCACTTGCAGTGAAGTTGTCAAATTCTTGTCTCTTCATTGTTCTGCTCTGTCGGTAAGTCTTCTTGCCAAGAATCTGAAGTATCAAGTAAGTGGTCCAACGATCTGATTCCTACGCAGGAAGGTCAAGTCTTTTCAAGCCGTTCTCCGGAAAACGTTGTGGCAGAAAATATAGAAAATCAAGAGGCGAATCCATCTGCCCTGTAGTCTTGTCATGTCTCGCCTGCAACACGCTGTGGGTATCAATGACAGTTTCAGATAGGATTCGCCCTGTATCTGCAAACAAAAAGTTCATCCTCATCCTTGGTGGATTCCAACATCACAGAATGGCATTGAAAGGCAGGACATGTCCGTGCTGCATTGCCATGCGGTGAAATCTGCAGATTGTGCGCAACATATTTTGCAAGCCACAGAGAGATGGCATCCGCATTCGGGAAGTAAATGAAGCTTGCCACAAAAACATCGCTTGTCAGATCGTCGATCCATTCAAACTCCATCATTTTCACCAAAATGTCAGCCGAGACGAAAACCTCTGAAGCTTGCAAGAAGGACAGCAAATTTTATCCGCGACGGTGCAATATTTCTTAAGAGTCAGCAATACTGAAAGGCGTGGACAGCATACAGTGTGAAGCAAAAGGCGCATTGATAGGTTGCTACAAAGCTACACAGTAGTACGGAACTCCATCTTGAACTTGCGGGGCGTATCCGAGATGAGGTTCTGTTGAATACCTCAACTCGCAATTCACATGATTTCACATGTACAGTGGAGCACAACCCCTCCTGTCCTTTCGTCCTCTTCTCCTGCCTTTCTTGAAACATCTTGAAACCCACAAAAAAACATAAAGAAAATTGTTTGCTCCAAAAATATCCGAAAAATACGGCGATCCTTTGCTCTGCTTTTAGTTAAAGTTGCTCCTCACCACGGCATCGCAGAATGCCTCAAGCCCAAAGTTGATGTGACAAATCGGTGCCAACAGCGCTGAATATAAAAAATACAGGTGCTTTAAAACAAGCAATCAAAACAAATTGACATATGCTGCTGTTTATCTCAGTTCCTTGCTGCTGTTGCGGGGAGCGTTCATCGGTTCTCTATATACTGGGTTGGGCTCCTGTGAAGGATGTGAAATCACCTGAAATCAATGTATATATATCGATTAATCGATAGAGTGACTTCTCGAAAACATGCAGGAATAGGACAGCGTTGGGATAGGAGATGATAGGAGCAAATGGAAGTCCTGAGCGTTGTACCCATCGACAAAGTTCGAGTCACAATCCTTCTCCACACGTCTGGATTGACAAATAAAAGGGAATCCAACCTTGGATTTAACCGCACTCGTTGCCGTTCTGCAAGTTTCAGTTTTGCCAACCCCAGTCTTGCCTCCAAACACAATAGCTAGATATAATATGTCTATCAGCTGGGTGCATTGGGAACCTTCATCGCTGCTCAATACCCACAGAACCATACAGAAACAATACAGAACCATACAAACATACAGAACCGACAATATTTCTGCTAAGCGGCCGATGATGCTGTCATGGAGAAAGGCTTGTAGCGCATGAATTGCTTCGGTGGTGCTACTACTGGACCAGTATCGAATCCTGAAGGCAGGCAGTTCCTGCATGTTCGTTAGCAAAGAAGCATCATTTGAGCCCCCGGCCTGCATCACATGGATTGAAGATGTCCACCACACAGGTCCAGCCTTGTCAGTGTGACTGCTACAAAGGTCCTTAATGCTGGATCTCACTGGAGACCTCCAGCAATTCATGTCAATCTCAGTCTGCCAACGCTACGTCTTGGAGTTTGCTTTCTACGCATGAAGATCTTGGGATATCTTAGTGAATCTCTTAGGAATTCATAGGAATTCTACATATGTCTACCCAGTCCTGTTCATCTTGCGTCCTTGAAGGCGCGGGTGCGAAACTCAAGGTATAACCATGTATAACCGGCATGCTCACATGCTCCATGACCAGAATCAATCATTGGCATATCTGTTGGCGAAACCAATGCATCGTTGCTCCGTTCCGTTAGATATATAAGTATATGTAAGTTAATACGTCATATTGATCAATACAATTTAACAAACTGATCATATAATATGTATATATAATATATATATATATAATATAATATAATATAATATAATATAATATAATATAATATAATATAATATATATATAATATTTTAAAAATACAGTTGAGACATATTGAAACTCAAAAATCCAAGCCCTGGTATTACGTCAAGAGTCAAGAGTCAAGACTCTGGTGCGAGTTTGTGTGTGTATTTGGTGTGCAGTGATTTCAGGCACCTCCGCAGCTGCCACAAGCCCCGCAAGTGCCACAGGTCCCACAACTGACATCAATCCACAAGATTGAAAGAGAAAGTTCTATCACATGAGCAATTCATAGCAGCTCAACGTAATTCAACCAACGACTTCAACACCAGCAAAAACTATCAAAAACTCACATACATAGATCCATAATGATCCAAAGACATACACAAAGAATCACAAAGAAAAGGAATCTCTGTCGTGCTTTCTCTATCTTTCTCTTTCAGGCCCTGCACTGCTCTGCACTGCCCTGCACATCCAAAGTGTACCCGAGTGCTTCGAAAGTCTGTCAATGCACGGTCTTGCGAATGTTGCAACGAATGTTTCATGTATTTTCATGTTCTATAAGTTTCGTAGCAACTCCTCTGTGCAATCTCTAACTTGCAGGTGAGGAGAAATGTGGCACGCAGCAATGCCGCAGCAATCCTATTCTCGGTCAAGCCTCCCGCTGCCACAGGTGCCCCATCCACAACTGCGCAGTTTTGAGCGTTGAGTTCAGTGAGTTCAGTGAGTTCAGTGTCCGAAAACTTTGAGGATCCCATGAGGATCCCGTCAGGATCCCATGGACATCTCGGGAAGTGAATTGATATTAATTTAATATTAATCTAATATTAATTTAATATTAATTTAATATTAAATTAATTGCATTATCTACGAATATCTACCACGGAAAGTAACGCGCCATGCTTGACATATCAATTTGCAGAGCTAACCAGCGCAACTGACGGAAGCCCTTTTTTCTTCCTTTTGCCTTCAAGACGAAGACAATGGATGTTCAAGCACGTACGCAAATGAAAAAACACATCATTGGTCCCTCTACTGAATTCAGTCAGTCCGGCAAAAGATGTTTGCACAAAAGCAGTATAAAACTGCCCTTGCAAGAACAACGTGCATGGTACCTTCCGGTGTTGCAGCCAGTTGAACAGCTCGCAGAGCAGCTCGCGCAACTGCAGGGCAGCATTTGTTGGTACATGTGGTGCATGTACAATGAGAACACCCGAGAGGTCAATGTGACCGTTTATGTAATACAATTGGCATCTTTTACTACTGTCGGTTATTGTTGGCATCTTGGACAAATGACGGCATCTCATTCAGCTGTTGAGGATAAACAGGCTGCCAAGGGCCTGATTAAACCGAATCAGAAGATTTCAATCCAAACAATCCTCTTCGCAACGTATCTGCACACATTTGCTCTTCTAAATGCAGCAAAGGGATGCAAAGGGATGCAAAGGTTTGCCTACCATGGTTATTGTACCTAAAGTCAAGCACAAACGGCTCCGCACCATCCAGTGTTGCAGCCGGTGCTGCAGCCAGTGTTGCAGCCAGCGCTGCAGCCGCCAGTGCTACAGCCAGTGCTGCAGCCAGTTGAACAGCTTGCGGCACCAGCACAACTGCAGGGACACAGAAGTAGACAGCAACAAATCTTAGCACCATACCAAGAGTGAGTGATAAACTCACATGCGAACCTAGCATTGAAATATATCATCCAAAGATATCTGAAGTCTATATTATAGCTTCTGTTCAACGTTAATGTGGACTACTTCTATCTACTTGTAGCATATCTGCACGGCTTTGCTTTTCTAAATGCGGCAAAGAAATTCAATGAGTATTGTACCTACAGTCAAGCACAAACGGCTCCGCACCATCCAGTGTTGCAGCCGGTGCTGCAGCCAGTGTTGCAGCCAGCGCTGCAGCCGCCAGTGCTACAGCCAGTGCTGCAGCCAGTTGAACAGCTTGCGGCACCAGCACAACTGCAGGGACACAGAAGTGGACAGCAACAAATCTTAGCACCATACCAAGAGTGAGTGACAAACTCACATGCGAACCTAGCATTGAAATATATCATCCAAAGATATCTGAAGTCTATATTATAGCTTCTGTTCAACGTTAAAGTGGACTACTTCTATCTATTTGTAGCATATCTGCACGGCTTTGCTCTTCTAAATGCGGCAAAGAAATTCAATGAGTATTGTACCTACAGTCAAGCACAAACGGCTCCGCACCATCCAGTGTTGCAGCCGGTGCTGCAGCCAGTGTTGCAGCCAGCGCTGCAGCCGCCAGTGCTACAGCCAGTGCTGCAGCCAGTTGAACAGCTTGCGGCACCAGCACAACTGCAGGGACACAAAAGTGGACAGCAACAAATCTTAGCATCATACCAAGAGTGAGTGACAAACTCACATGCGAACCTAGCATTGAAATATATCATCCAAAGATATCTGAAGTCTATATTATAGCTTCTGTTCAACGTTAAAGTGGACTACTTCTATCTATTTGTAGCATATCTGCACGGCTTTGCTCTTCTAAATGCGGCAAAGAAATTCAATGAGTATTGTACCTACAGTGAAGCACAAACGGCTCCGCACCATCCAGTGTTGCAGCCGGTGCTGCAGCCAGTGTTGCAGCCAGCGCTGCAGCCGCCAGTGCTACAGCCAGTGCTGCAGCCAGTTGAACAGCTTGCGGCACCAGCACAACTGCAGGGACACAGAAGTGGACAGCAACAAATCTTAGCATCATACCAAGAGTGAGTGACAAACTCACATGCGAACCTAGCATTGAAATATATCATCCAAAGATATCTGAAGTCTATATTATAGCTTCTGTTCAACGTTAAAGTGGACTACTTCTATCTACTTGTAGCATATCTGCACGGCTTTGCTTTTCTAAATGCGGCAAAGAAATTCAATGAGTATTGTACCCACAGTCAAGCACGAACGGCCCCGGCACCATCCGGTGTTGCAGCCAACGCTGCAGCTGTTGTTGCTGCCGCTCAAAGAGCGAACACCACCCACATGCCTGCAAAATAGCCATTACAAAGAAACGTTGCAATTGCATGCTGCCCATTAGGATGCTGCCTTACGCTTGGAGGTCCTTCAAAAACCTGCCTTTCATATCATGTATATATATATGTATCATGCAAGAAATGCGGTTTGGGCATGCAATCATACACTTGAAATGCATGAGTTGAAAGGCGCATCCAAGGGGTGTCTCCGCGATGTTTAGATTGGTAGGAGAAGGGCTTGGCTTGGGGCGGATGAATGAAATCACGCTGAACGGGGCAGTTGGAACTCATATTCTGGTCGTCGCTTCGTGACGACAACTGCCAGTACCAGAAGTTTTTGCTGGGATAGGCGCCTCTATGTTGAGAAAGGCTATATTGGGTATGTTGGACCAATATATATATAATTATATATATATAATTATATATATAATTATATATATATATATAATTATATATATATATTGGGCATGTATTTGGCAGCTTATACATTGATTATCTATGATTATCATTACTATAATTGTTTATCATTGAGGATTGTACGAGTAATGCTTTGAATTGCTTCCGATCTACACGTGCAAAAAAAAATCACTCGGTCGGACTTCTTGCAGCAAACTACATTATGCGATGAGAGAAAACCATCTGCAACCTTTGTGCAATCCTGGCTGAGATGCACAGCGATATTCTAAGCTCTTTAGGCAATCAATTCGGCCAGCATCATGTCTGTATGTCTCGGACGTGCGAGAGGGGAAGCCTTAGGAGCCTCACTAATTTCAGACAGTTAATCAGAAATCTATACAAGATTGTACAAGATCCCTCGACAAAATGTGCTGAGACCGGTTGCACATGGGTTGCACGTCGTAGCCAGCTACTGTAGTGCTTTCATGTGCTTTCTCTGCAGCACAAAAGCAGAAGCAAAATGAAGAAAAGAACTGTCACAAATTGCAGCCAGGCTGCGCCACACTGCCCTCACCTGACTGGACGCAGCTGCACAAGTCAGCAGCTCTTGGCCAGTGGCATGCGTGGGTCATTTCTATATTGATGTCTTTCCATTGGCATTCTGTAGCCGTCCAGACCACCCAGTAGTTCATGAGATGTACAGTAGCTGGATCCAGAAAACTTGTTCGATCTTATCCTCGAAAGAAATCCTTGACCTGCCTGAGGAAGCTGAGCAAACCTTAGTTGAAAGCTTCAATGCATTCCAATTCTGCAATACATGTCAATGTCATTCAATTCTAAGCCAGGAGAAACTACACTGATCTTCTCTTTGCACATGCACAATTCTTGCTACACGGCCACCGTACTATGACACAGCAACATGCAAAACATGCAGAACATGCATCAACTTTATGCAACTTTGGCAGTAAATATAAATATATGCTAAATATTCCTGAATCGTAAATGAGAAAACATCTAACTCGGCGGTATGAATGGGATCACTCATGATGTTCAAGCCTCTTTATCCTCTTCATGCAACTGACAGGCAATCCAACAACTGACAGGAAAAGCTGTTCAGAAGTCTGAAAACTTCAACTTATGGCGCTTTGTCCTAAAAGCATCTAGAGGCGAAAGACCTTGTGTCTTCAGATCTTGAGGGAAATTGATGGAACTTCAGTGAACTGCCATCCAAACATGTCAATAGTGATTTCAGATATATAACTACATGTCTTTGTACAGCTAGAATTTCGGCATATTTCGGCAAAGTGGCTTCCAATTTCCGAATCGCTGCAGCTCTGTCAAGCACAGAAGCAACCTTTGTCTGCAAAGGCTGACAGATTTGATACAATGACATGCGAATGCGCCAACGCCATAGTTCGCCATAGTTCGTGATGGTTTACTGCTTAGTCAAGTCTGCTTTCTGACACACAATCTTGTTCACTTGGACAACTGGCATGTTTCCCAGTTGCCTTGCGGCTAAGAAACAGCACCCACCTTCACTGGTTCGCCAAAATATGGGTGGTCTGGACAACCATGTGAACGCAGCACCCAAAAATACTCTCCTTTTGGAGATGCCGTGTGCTGGAGGTTCTCACCACTTTGTTGGCAAATATCACCTCGGTCTCAGGTTGCAAATATGAATAATTAAGCATTATCTAATGAAGATGGTGACCCCTGCTTCCAGTACCGAACAAAGGTTGTTCTTAAAAACGGTCGTTCCATTCATTTCATTCCATTCCATTCCGTTCCGTTCCGTTCCGTTCCATTCCATCATTCCATTCATTCCAGTTCATTCCATGTAATTCATTCCGTTTCATTCATTCCATGTCATTTTTTCATTCTTTCATTTTTTCATTCTTTCATTCTTTCATGTTTTCATTATTTCATTCATTCATGCATGCATGCATGCATGCATTCATGTCATTCATGTCATTCATGTCATTCATGTCATTCATGTCATTCATGTCATTCATGTCATTCATGTCATTCATGTCATTTGTTCATTGATTATCAATTTATATCCATTTATGTTATGTAATTTCATGTCATTTCCTTTCATTCATGTCGTTTATTTCATTCATGCGTTCATTCCTTCATTCATTAATTTCATATATATATATATAATATGATGTCATTTCATATTATTTCATTTCATATTATTTCACTTCATTTCAGTTCATTTCAAATCATGTCATTTCATTTCATTTCGTTCCAGTCCGTTCCATTTCATGTCATGTCATTTCATTCATTCAATGTGATGCCACGCCACGCCACGCCAGGCCATGCCAGTCCACTCCATTCCATTCCATGATTTTCTCTCTCTCTCTCTCACTCTCTCTCTCTCTCTCTCTCCCCTTCGCTCTCAACATCTAGAAACTATGAACCTGTGCGTCTTCTAGTTGCAGCCAGGGCACCATTCGTCTTGTTCGCTTTCAGCGGCGCAGGTTGCAGCTTAAAGCAGGGTGGCAGGAAAGGATCAGAGACGGACCAAACGTAGTGGTATTCCTAGCAAGCTAAACACCATGAAAAGTGGATGAGGAAATAAAAAACTGATGGCATACGTGGCATGTTGGAGTGAAACTGTTCGGGATTAGACCAATCACAAAACATCGGCTCACATGGTGGGGTGGGGGGGTTGGTTTAGGTCATAGGTTTGTTCTGGCAATGTTGGAGCAATAAGGGGAACTACCCAACAGCTGGCCGCGCCCCCAGACGTGTGAAGGGGTGAGAGGGCTTGTGAAGGAAGGGGGCAGGTAAGTACTTCAAGAAAACCAAAGCCAAGTTGTTTCTTGGGACAACGTGGGATCAAATGTTTTCGTTGAAGAACAGCACAACTGTGAGCAAGTTCGCTATCTTCAGCCACCAATGTTTTCGGCATCGCATCGCTTCTCCAGGCTGGCCCAAAACACGTGAATACCAGGAAATGTGGATGCCAAAAAAAAACCTGTGAATTGTGATATTATGACTGCAAAAAGCGCAGGTCTCTCTCTCTCTCTGTCGCCATCTGGTCAAATTCAGCTAGGCACGCCGATCTGGCCATACCCACCGTGCCCACTGTATTGTACCCCTTGAAACTCTGTACTGCGCCCTTGCGTGCTGAACCCAAAGAAAACCCTGTTTTCATTGCTTCTGAAACTTGCTAATGCATACTGGAATTATGCATGTTGGATGCAGGTTGTAATGGTGAAAGTGTTGCAGCTCTGTGCGTTGTCAGTCGGCCATTTCCAGTGTTGCAACATGTTGCGATGCCCCCGATGCCCCCGATGCCCCCTGTGCATTTCCAGTGCAGTTCGCCTTCTCCCCTTGCTCGTTGGTCGTGGTGCGCCCATTGCATTCATCCAACTCGCTGGGACTCACAAGACGTCCATCACTTCCGTAAGGACCACGAATCGGAATCCCGTCCTTGAAGTTCAATGTTTCTCCAACAACAACGCTTGTCTTCCATTTGCAGCAAGTGATAGAGAAGTCCTTGAGCCTTGACCTGTGGGTTTTTTAGATTGTTTTTGCGAAAGTGTGCAAAGTCTAGGTTGGTTCTGAATACCTCTTTGCTCCTCTTGGTAGCTAAATCTGAGGGCGTCTCCAAAGCATGGCCCAGAACTGGTGATGGCTTTGAAAGGGCTGGCCAAAAGGCCATTGGATCTTCTTGTGCCCACCAGTCTGCTCTTCCGGGCGTCACATGACCTGGACGTGTTAGCTTCTGGCACATTTCAGTCAACCATGTTGAAACATGGTACTGTAGAAACATGTTCGTGAACATGTTGAGATCTCCGCCAACCTTGATGACCAAGAAAGCAGGAGGCTGGAAAATGATAGTGGTAATGTCCTGTGCTCTTGAGCCAATCTATTGTCGAGAACTGGGAAGCTGTCTCAATGCCTGAAAAAGTTGTCTGTCGTTGCTAGCAGAAACTAGAAGAGAATAGATCAAGTCGAGTGGAGCTGGCTGCATCATTTGTAAAGTGTCCAAATGCGATAATGTGGAGATGTTAACGATTGTTAACGTACAGTTTCTCTGACATGCGTCCTGTTGCATCCACGTGCCCCCCGCAATTGTCAAAGTGCCTTGGTTCAGAAGCAACAAGAAGAGTCGCAGGCTACTTGTCTCGGAACATAAACAACACACCAAAAAAATCCAAAAAGGACTCACACAATATATCAAAGCAAGGTCAGGCTGTGAAGGTCGGGCCTCGACACTGTTACAAACACGAGTGTTGAAGCACGACAGATTCAGGATAGGATATACTATGATTACTATGACTATGATATACTTCAGCCATCTTCAGCCCGGATTCCCCCTATTGGTCAGCGGAAGATGCCATCAAAAACTCTTACAAATCCATACAGTACAAATCCTGGAAACGAATCTCTACCTCACAAGTTGTAAGCTTGCAGTGATATGCAGTGATCATATTGATGGAGAAGTAGAAAATCTTAAAAGATCGCGGAACATGTGGAACTTTGGGAAAACTTTGGGAAAACTTTGGGAAAACTTTGGGAAAACTTTGGGAAAACTTTGGGAAAACTTTGGGAAAAGGGATGGAAAGGGATGGAAAGGGACCGGATTCTTATGGCACTCGTTTGCCAAGATGCCAAGCTGTGGGCATCGCCTTTCCTCTCTCATGGTGGGCACCCACCAACATCACGCCATTCAGAGCCTCAGAAAGGCAACATTCGTAACATAATAGTAACATATGGTAAGAGAAGGCTCCTCTGCGTTCTGAACAACGCCAAACAGAGCTCAATCTGTCTTGAAATGATTCAGCAAAGTCTACAATGATCTACAATATGTCTTGAATTCGAAATATCTCTAACACGTATGACATCAACTTGCAGGCACTGCATGCCATTGGGACATTTATTGAAACAAAGTTGAAGCAAAGTCACAAAACCAACCACGCCAGATGTGTTGGCCACCCAGGCAACAGGGTCGGTCTTTGATGCCTTACTTCTTGCATGCTGGACTCCTGGACTCCAGCTGCAGTCTTAGAGGGGAAGATTTTGGAAGGCATCAATTTATCATATCGCCAACTTCAAAGTGTAGAAGTGATACCAAATCTTCGTGATATAAATAATATAGACGTATGAAAAAGGATCCATTCCTTTTTCAATCCTTTTGTGCAGCCAAAAGGCTGCGTCCCGTTGTGCCATCTTTGGGCTCCTCAACGTCACCGCCATGTGGCCTGGTACTGAACTAGGAGTGAATGGAGTATGGTGACAATTGTAGGGACCTGAAGGAAGTTCTGAGTCAATCTGACCCAAGCTTTGACCCCACTTGTGGATACTTGATGAGCCTTCTCTATACTTCTCTATACTTCTCTAACATTCTACAGTATATAGCCTATATTACAGCAAGCAAGGTGCGGCACGCCAGCCAGTACAAGCTGTACTGCATCAGAGCACATCTAATGCAGGCGTGGGTTCCATCATTTTTTTTCAGATGCTTATTCATTTATATTCTATCTTTCCTGCCAGGGGACTCTTTCTCGGAAGACGTGATGTTCGGTTTGTCTTTTTTGCGCGAGTTGTTGTAGCTGCCTGCACGAACGAGTCCAAGCAGTAAGGCATGCTTGACCTGATATACCTTCCGCTTGATGCTGAGCTGCTGAGAAATCTACTCTGCCTGATGCCCAATGGATCTGAGGTGCAAGCACTTTGTGTCTGCTGCAATACCTTTGGTACCTTTGGTTAGCCGCCTTCATTGCCTTCATTCTTCTCAAAGGTGCCACTGTAGCTTCTCGGATGTCGCGGACCATGTAGTAGAGAGCGTTGCCTTTGTGCCAGTGCTGATGATATGGGAAGGTAATGGAAGGTACATGACATTCGCATGTAATCAATGCATACTGTGCTGGGTAGACACAAACAAACACTCTCACCCTGTTGCAAGCACATGAGAAAGCATTGCAACATCTGAAAATTCCGAGGTGGGAGGGAGCAGAACACGAGAAACGGCTGTTTGATGCTAACTGTACATGTGCCTGGTTTGCAAGCTTGTGTTCTAGCGCAAATATATCGTATGATATTCACCGCTGTCGTGTCAGTCAGCGATACTGGTGTCACAATTGTCACATATTGTCACTAGTTCCCCAGAATTTGTTGCAACTCATTGTCGTGCCATAGTGTGACAGTGCCACCTGCTACATTTTGCAATGATGTGTCTGCAGTTCAGCAAATTGCAATAAACACAGGAGAAATCTGTAAGCCAGAGAAGAACAGTGATAGATATTGACCAATCTGCTGTTGCAAGAGAGAATGGAAATATGATCCAACACTTGGTTTGCACACGAGTCACTTTGAGCATCCTGTAAGCGCTGAGAGCTCACTGCATAATGTTCCTTGAATTCAGTGAGCCGCTTTGCACAGCATAGAGTTGCAACTGAAAAATATTATTGTATAATATTGAAATTATTGAAAAGGGTTGTAGATGCCAAAGTATGCCAAATTTGTGGTGGGAATTGGCTTGATAGATACGGTTCTAGACAAGTGTAGACAAGACAGGCCACTACATGTAACAAAAAAAACATCCATGAATGGCACAGCTCGGCGGGCTTTAGATTCCGCGAGCGCCAAATATTTCAAATGTCACACTTCCATGCACTTCCCTGGTCAGACTATGTTAGACTATGTTAGACTTGTATATCAAGCGGTGACGCTCCAAAGCACTGATCTTGTAAACTGATGCTTTGGGTTGGCCAACCATGTACATGGTAGGGGTGGGAAAATGTTTTACATGGAGCAAACGAATCTAGCATTGCAAATACGGGCATCTTTTTTGGGTCAGTGTCTGGGTCCAGTGTAGTACATGTCTTGCTTTGCAGGACTAGAGTATCAGTATCAGTCTCAGTTCGCCAGAGGCACACAAGCTTGTTCAAGTTGCAACTTTTCCGCTTGGTTTGCAAGAAATAAGAAATAATTAAATATTAAGAAATACATAGAAATACTAAAATATTGACCACTCTCAAACAGAGCGAGCGACGAGAAAGGGCTTGTCTGGCAATAGTCCTGCAAGACCCTCCAAATACCCAGAGCGGAGATTTTACAGCAAGACTGTTATGCACACCTAAAAGTCTTTCCAATCAGATTCTGACATGGACACACCAAAAAGCCTGTCAGGAATCATGTGTTAACTTGAGTGTCTCTTGATGTCAGAGTGACTTAGTCATATATACTTAATAGACCTGCACATCCTGCACGAGTAGGGACCCCAAGTACAACGATCTACAAGCTCTACAAGCACTGCCAAGCTTGGTAGCACAGAAATGAGTTCTAGGCTCCTCGATCTCGGTTGCACCGGATTCTGTTGACCTTTCACGAAAAATCCAAGAATCTGAATTGACAAGTCTATATAAGTCTTGCATATGGCCCGTAGCCATCGCGTATGGCAGCTATGCTTTGCTTTGATGCCTTTTGGATCCTTTTGGAATCTTTTGGATCCTTTGAGAGTCTTTGAGTAAGTTGTGCTGAGGTTTCGACTGGGAGCTGAATCGTGTCTTCATCGGCGCACCAGTGGTAGATATCCAGCGGATTCAGTTGTTCCTGGACACGTCTTTCACTGTGCCAAACTCTCCATAATTTCATTGTGCACAGCAAACATCAGCAAACTAGAGGAGGCAAAAACAAATATGAGAACACAGCAGCAAGGAACAGGGTGGAGACGATGGAGAGTAACATTTATCATGTCAGGTCTCTAAGCAAAGTGTGGATTGTGGGCGCAGCATTCCCAGGGTTCCAACACAGGATCAGCTGTAAGCGCAGCTTTGACATCCAAGCAGCATTGGCGATGACGTAATAGTCCAGGTAGGCCATAAGCTCTGGGATCTGCCGGATGCCGAAAACCTCGGGAAAGTCACATACTGCAAGATCATGTACAATCATCATCGATCATCTGCAATCCACAAATATCCACATTGGTATGACATACAAAACATTACAAAACCATTCAAACTCTGAAAAGGGCACGGGGTGCAGGAATTTGCACTCGCACACAGACACACACAGACATTATGTTGCCTCGTTGTCCTCGCTTCAGACGTTGTTCTTTTGATTCCTTTTTATCTTTTTTGGCCGAGAAATCGTCTTAGCATCAGAATAAGAGGTAGCCCACGCAGATGCACACAAAGGCCATTCGCTCGAAAGGGCAGAAGTTTTAACCGTATTTTTTCGGCATGAAATGCAGGCTGCGTCGAGGAGACCTCCAGCATTCCAAGGAGCATCTTGCACTTGGAAATGATCTCGAAGACGCAAGCGTATGCCAGAGAAGCTTGTGGGATCATACTCCACCCTGGCAGCGAATCAGGCATCTGCAAGAAAGGCCACACCACAACCGGGGCCAACTCCAAAGTCTAGCAGCTTGGACGATTCAATGACGAGTCAATTCTCCAAGCTGCTGTTGGACTGCGATGAAGAGCAAGAAGCTAACCTGTCTCGAATTGTGTAACGCTATCTGCTTAGCAGGATTTTTTGAAAGGTTCACACACTGAATGCTTGATTGCTGCAAGCGTGCCACAAAAGGTTGAGGCGCAAAACTTTCCATGTTTCTCACAGTTGCCAACTGTTGAATCGAGCGGCTGCGAAAAGGAAGAATCGCGGCAACATGGTGAGCATCTTTAGCTCCAACCTCATCTTCGGTCCATCTATTCGCAACCAACAACTGAGTGTATCAAACCAGCACTCCAAATACTACAATGCACCAAATCTCCACAAACCATTTGTAATCCATTTGTGCAATACATGCTGTCAGTCCCATCGAACAACGGCAAGTCAGCATTGCCTCCAGACCTGCTTCACCCTTCCCTCCTTCCACCATAAAATGAAACACAATCAAACAATTTTATCCTGTTCTGCCGTTGCCTTGCTCCACGTCATAAGTCTCCCACACGATCCGTCTGCGAAGAATCTCCCTGAACAAAACATGCAAGGCAGCAAACAAGCATAAGTTGAATTGACATGATTCAAATGTATGCAATTTCGATCAATTTCGTCTACATTCCCTGATGATCCCGAATGTGTAATGCAAAAAGGTCTCTCAAAAAAGCTCACTGATGCTGCCGAAAACTTGTTGCAATGGGCCATTGGGCAATTTATAAGCAGAATACATGATGAAATCATTGCAAGTCATTAAATCTTGGAAATTTCATCAATTGTTTGTCTTTGATTGTTTTTTAATGTTTATTCAGTTGGCAACAATCCAAGTTGCCTGGCCTATCAAGTCCTCCATCGGTCTGCCCGACATAATCAGAGTCGCCAGTGAACACGGTGGAGAGACCTCTTTTTCACCCAAGCTGCGGCACAGCTGTGACAAACGCTGCACTCATGTTCAAAGGAAAAATGTTGGACAGTGTTGGATACAATTTTCTTGAATGGCCAAAGTTCAAACCAAACACAAACGCACGAGAATTGGAACAAAGAGTTTGCCGAATTGCGAATGGAGTTTCAAGCAGGAGAAACATCTTTTGATATACCAGCAATTACCAGTATATATACCAAGTGTCTACGAAACTAAAAAAAAATCGAGGAGTGTAAAATAGTTCTGTCTGATTCTGTTTGTTTGTTTCATCTGGTGGCCTAGTCACCCCCTAGTCACCCAAGTTTGTGGAAAAAGTGTTTTCTTTTGCATCTTTGCTGCTTGAGGTGCTCTCCCTGAAATTGCCATCCTTGCTCCCGACCACTGCAGCAGACACGACCTGAATGCAATATTATCATCACTGTCATCATGCAATCCTCTTATCCCCGAAGAGAAAACACGAACTGTTTTTGGTTCAGTGACCAGGTATGTTTTTCTTCAAATAATTAATCTAGGACTTGACCCTGCATGATTTCTTCGCGCATCCTTTGTGCCTTTGTGATCTGATTGTTTTTTGTGAGTTTATGCTCCTGGCGTGCCTGGAAGGGCCAATGTTATCTTATTTCCAAATCCAAAGGCTGCCTCCGCCACTGACGCCCGTGGGCGTCCAGTTCTGGACGATGTAGGCGACAGCGGGGATTGCACAGATCTGCTGCTGGTCTTGCTGGATTCACGACCGTCCCTGAGAGCAACACGCTGCCACGAAGCAACTGAGGTGCAATTGGTTTGTTTTCTTTTGTCTCAATGGTGAACACTGTGATAATTTGAGTCTGAGCAAACTATGACGATCATTTATTGCCCACAAGATAATCTTGGCATGTTTTTGCTCTTCAGCCTGCAAACGGCACCGAAAAACAACCATAACTTTAAGAGCAGTACTATGCAATACATTGCAATACGTGATGCTATGTAGTGGCACCAATAGTGCCGCACAAGGCGGTGGCGGAAGTTTCAAAAATAGGAAACCTATAGGAGAGGTTGGTTGTTGTGAATCACGGATGGCAGAGCGAATCCACTGATGGACCGACAGGTGGTTGGAGTTGTGTTTTTTGGAATGGCTGCAATGGTTGCAGTGGACACCTTATCACAACTGCTGGATGTAGTGTGGTGTAGTGCAGTTGTAGTTGTAGTTGCAGTTGTAGCTGTAGTTGTAGTGTAGTGGAGCTGTAGCTGTAATGTAATTAGTGTATTTGCAAGCGCAGTTGCAGTTGTAGTCGTGGTGTGGTGCAATTAGTGTGGTGTAGTGCAGTGTAATGCCGTGTAGTGTTGTGTAGTGTAGTGTGGTATAGTGCAGTGTAATTAGTGTAGTGTAGCGTAGCGTAGTGTAGTGTAGTGTAATGTAGTGGTAGTTGTAGTTGCCGTTGCCGTTGCGGCTGCAGTTGTAGTTGTAGTTGTAGTGTAGTGTAATGTAGTGGTAGTTGTAATTGCCGTTGCCGTTGCGGCTGCAGTTGTAGTTGTAGTTGTAGCGTAATGCAATGTAATCAGTGTAGTGTAGTGTTGTGTAATGTAGTGTGGATGTAGTTGTAGTTGTAGTGCTGCAGTGTAATTAGTGTAGTATAGAGTAGTTGTAATTGTCGGAGGAAGTTTAGAAGTCAAACTTCCGACAATATGGACAGATGAAAAGCAGAGATGGAAAGGGTCAGGGAGAAGAGGAGAGTAGAAGAGAGAAGATCAGAGAAGAGAAAGAGTCATAAGAAAGAAGATGCAGATGCGCGAAAAGGTAGGAAAGTCGCAAAACACTGTGTTTTTTCAATGATTTGTGGCTCCGGAGGGTCGAACAGTAGGCTCGCTAAAGCGGCGGGTGCCGAGCCATCTGGCCAGATGAGAGATGAAAAATTGCACGCCGTTGTGGCGCGAAGCACATTTCCAAGTCAAAATGTGCAAAACACACCAGCGTCGGACCACTTTTGGAAGTTGGGATGTCGAAAAACTGCACGCCGTTGTGGCGCGAAGCACATTTCGAAGTCAAAATGTACAAAACACCTCAGTGTCGGACCGCTTTTGGAAGTTGCGATGTTGAAAAAGTGCACGATGTTGTGGCGCGAAGTACATTTCGAAGTCAAAATGTACAAAACACCTCAGTGTGGGACCACTTTTGGAAGTTGAGATGTCGAAAAAGTGCACGCCGTTGTGGCGCGAAGCACATTTCGAAGTCAAAATGTACAAAACACACCAGGTTAGGACCACTTTTGGACGTTGAGATGTCGTTCCGCGTGGCAGGGGCAAGGGATTGTGGATCTTGTCAAAAGTGAGCAATACGTGAGGGTTTTGTCCCATTTTCAACTACTACCACCACTACACCAAACTACACTCCAATACACTACACTACAACTACAACTACACCTTCACTACATTACACTACACTACACTACACTCCACTACACTACACTACACTGCACTTTGCTACACTGCACTACACTACACTACACTACATTCCACTACACTACATTACAATACACTCCACTACACTCCACTACACTACATTACACTACACTACACTACATTCCACTACACTACACTACATTACACTACACTACACTCCACTACGCTAGACTACAACTACATTACACTACAACTACACTACACTACATTACACTAGATTACACTACACTACACCACACTACATTCAATTACACTCCACTATACTACACTCAATTACACTACACTACACTACATTCCACTACACTACACTACACTAACTACAACAACAACAACAACAGCAGCAACAACAACAACTACAACTACAACAACAACTAAAACAATACTACATTTACACTACGCTACACTACACTAATTACACTACACTACACTAAACTCCACTACACTAGATGGACGGATGGATGGATGGATGCATAGATAGATAGGTGGGTAGGTAGGTAGGTAGATGGTCAGAGAAAGAGAGAGAAAGAGAGAGAAAGAAAGAGAAAGAGAGAGAAAGAGAGAGAAAGAGAGAGAAAGAGAGAGAAAGAGAGAGAAAGAGAGAGAAAGAGAAGAGACCTCAACCACCTTTCGGTCCATCAGTGGCTTCGCTCTGCCATCCGTGATTCACAACAACCAACCTCTCATATAGGTTTCCTATGTTTCTTCCGTCACCGCCTTGTGCGGTACTACTGGTACTTGCAGTTGTGGTAGCAGTTGTTGTTGTTGTTGTTGTTGTTGTTGCTGTTGCTGTTGCTGTTGCTGTTGCTGTTGCTGCTGTTGCTGTTGCTGTTGCTGTTGTTGTTGTTGTTGCTGTTGTTGGTGTAATTGGTGTAGTGTAGTGTAATTAGATGTAACTGGGTAGTGTAGCGAAATTAGTGTAGTATAATGTAGCGTAGTATATTTGTAGTTGTAGCAGTAGTGTAGTGTAGTTGTAATTGTCTATCTGTCTGTCTAACTGTAAGCTTGAAAACGCAGCAATTCTGTGAGACTTCCTCAATTTTTGAACTTGACAACATCAAAAACGAAACAGTTCTGCGAGACTTCCTCATTTTTCGACGGTGACGACGTCAAAAACGAAACAATTCTGCGAGACTTCCTTCAAAAATGGAAAGTTGAGTGCAGAGCTGACGGCCTCGTGCCAATGCGTTTTGCGATTTTTCCACTCCATCTGTCTAAAGTACTGCGCCTGCCACGAAAAAGTGATGCCAAGTCATACGAAGTGCTGCACCTGTTACGCAGAATCATCTCAGCGAACCTGAAGATCTGATGCTCGAAAATGCAACCCCTCTCAGGAAATCAGCGCCCTGACCTCCTAACATCTCTGACGAACATGTCTCTTGTACTGCGCCTGCCACGGAAAATGCATCTTTGCAGATCCTCTTCAAATGTCCCACGCCTGCCATCGTTTTTTGAAAATGTTACAAAACCGTCACGTTTTGCTCACCTTTGACCAGGTGCATAATCCCTTGCGCCTGCCACGCGAAACGACATCTGAACGTCCAAAAATGCTCCGAACCCGTCGGGTTTTTGCACTTTTGACTTGGAAATGTGTTTTGCGCCACAATGCCACAACAGCGTGCACTTTTTGAAAATCTCAATTTCCAAAAGTGCTCCGAACCTGGTGTGCTTTGTCCATTTTGACTTCGAAACGTGCTTCGCGCCACAACGTCGTGCACTTTTTCGACATCCCAACTTCCAAAAGTGTCCGACGCTGGTGTGCTTTGCACATTTTGACTTGGAAATGTGCTTCGCGCCACAACGGCGTGCAATTTTTCATCTCTCATCTGGCCAGATGGCTCCGCACCCGCCGCTTTAGCGGGCCTACTTTCCGACCCTCCGCAGCCACAAATCATTGGAAAAACACAGTGTTTCGCGACTTTCCTACCTTTTCGCGCACCTGGATCTTCTTTCTCCTGAGACTTCTCTTTTTTGATACTTTTTCTTCTTCTCTTCTCTTCTCTGACTCTTCCCAACTCCGCTTTTCATCTGTCCATATTGTCGGAAGTTTGACTTCTAAGCTTCCTTCGATAATTATAATATATATTAATATATTATATAATATAATATTTAGAATTAATTATATACGTGTACGCATGTATGTATATACATAGATGAAATCTGCTCGGCGTCATTGCAGTTCATGTCTGTTGCTAAGTCGGGTCTTTGTGTTTTGAATGGTTCAAGTCAGTCTGCGTTTTCGAAAGCCCTGCATGCCTCTTCGAACATCTTTGAACACTTGCAGTCACTTGCATGATTTGCTGAGCTCTGGGATCCCAGCGGCATGCCCTGCATTTCAGCAGACAACTATGTGAACCCCCTTCGAAGGGGACCTCTGATTCGAAGCTAAATGGTCCGTGCATGTCCGTGCACTTCCAACATCTTTAGACCACAAGTGAACCTACTCCTGATCTCACAGAATCTAACCTGTTGTTCTTGCGCTTCGTTGAGTGCCAAAAAATAGCTTTGGTTTCAATTGGTTTCCAGAATTTCCGTGACAAATCATGAAAGACATTAACAGACTGGTATTGCTGCAAACTCACCCTATCTCACTCTCAATCTCGACTTGGGTCCATGTCCAGAAATCTTTCTTGCCATGTCCATTCTTTGAGCTGCAAGAAGCTGCTTTGTCAAAGGACATGAAAGTCGAGAGTCCTACGCTGTCCCAAGTGGAAACTGAGTCACCCAAAATATGACTTGTCAGCTTGTCAGTGCGTGCGTTGCAAGCACATTTGCTATCCAGTCATATTGTTCGATCAATCATTTCAGAAATGCTATGTCAGCCGCGAAGCAGTCAAGGACATTGCATAGAATTAAAGATTGTTGAATTGAAAGATCATGAAAGGATGCAAATAGTCGGGTGGATTTTCAGTCGAGGCAGCTTTTCGCGGGTCTGGCACTTGAAAAAGGTTTGCACTGAGTGGGTGTGAATATCTGAAAGCGCCCTACAAAAGAACTGTTTCAATTGAGCAGCGTCAAAAGCCAATCGGAGAATTGGTTACTTGTACAGTACTAGGGATTCGCACACTTGATTATGACAACATAATGCCAATCCCCCAACTATTGGGTAGTATGAACCCCCTCTAATCATGAATCAACCAGGGTCTTTGAAACTACTCACTGTCACTTGTGTGTGTGAGACTCTTTGAAAGGGATGTGATTCCGGTGCTGATTCAATTGAGAGAACAAGGCAAGCAGTGAGCCTGAGAGCAAAGCGTCTGTAACTCAAAGGATAATGATGGCTGGCAACAATACTGCACCTTTCTACTTTCTACACAAGTGACCATAGTGACCCACCCACTTGAAGCTTTTGACATGATTGTGAACATATAATATTCCTCCCCGCTTGGCTCCCCACGAAGAAGCCCCCCGTGTTGCAAGTCTGAGGGTAGAAGCGCGCGCAGCGCACCATGTCCTCCCAGCTCTACGTTGGAATACTTTGGACGTGTCAAGACGTGTCATGACGTGTCCCACAATCCGTCAACGACCCAGGACAACACACGGATTCAGCGACATCATGCGACATCGGGAATCATTCCTCCATCAGTCATCACTGCCATGTCACTGCCCAAATTTGCAAAGCTGCAGGCCATGTTTGATCATTTTCGCATTCGTGCGGGTTCGTTCCTTTGTCTGCTACCCTCCTTGCCTCAGTTCTTGGGCTTGAAGTAGGCCTGCTCCCACCATGGCAGATTTTTGCTCATGTACTCAATGTCTCGGAGGTCTTTCTCCAAGTGGTGCAGCAGCTTTTCTGTTGGGATGCGTCCAGGGGCAACCCCTTTGCCAGCAATGGCGAATGGCTGTGCAATGCACACAGCCACCTCAAGCAATGCCTGATAGAGGAAAGGTCCGACACTGCACAAGATCATGCTCACCGTCAAATCTTGGAGACTGTGAGACAAGTCTTCTGCATGCACTTTGCTCTCGAAAGTGCCCAAATGAGAACTTGCGAGGACCATGCTGAAGGTAACACCCGACGCCAAGCCGATGCTGATGGCGTTGATGATGTTGTTAACCTTAAAGGGAACAACATGGGACAACGGGGTAGGCCTGGGTGGATCCGGGTAGGCAACATGACAATGGGTGACAACGCAAGCAGAGTGGCTTCGGAAACAGCCCTGAAGCTCTCATAAAACTCATAAATCTGTCCGATCGTGCAGTGACACGAGCGATGACATCATCATGACATGTTTGGAAAATGTCTGAAGATGTCAAGAAACAAGGACCAGCGCCGCCATCATTTGAACGTGAACATAGGGAGGCTGAACACGAATGGATGCTCGAACAGCTCGGATACCGGTGTATGCTTGCTCTGCCATTGTGATGACCCGACCGTATGTAGGGGTTGGGATGGGAGGAATCTCACCATCAGCAGCCAGACGAGATAACAGAGAGGTGATCCAAACCCAGAGTGTTTGAGCAGGATCGACGATTTGCTTCAATGTTTCGGTCTCGTTGGGCAGGAGACGAGCAATGCTCTTGGAATTGCTCCCATTTGATCTCCTCGGAGGTTCGAGTTCTACGGTCAAACAGGTGATGCCACGTACACGCAAATAGAAATGGCATGATCACTTGATCACTACTTGCCAGTTCAAGATGTTTGACCTCGAAAAAACACTTTTGAAATTTACAAATTTGAAAGACGTTGAAAGTACATGCTGACATCTTGCTCCAAGTGTCAGTATCCTTCTCCACCGTCACATCCTTCCAACATTGTTCCAAGTAGGCATCTCGGTCCTCTGGCGTCATTGGGGCGGACGTCAGGTCGTGGTTCAAGCAGTAGGCCGACCTGGGCAGAAGCAACGAAGGTCGAGGCCCGCGTCCTGCATTGCCGCGGTTTCCTTTGTCGGAACATCAACATTAGGTGGTCTAGAACTGGCCAGAAGGTCTGGTGCTTTAGCATCACGATAATGATATAATGATATATGATATATGTATCATATAAGTTGAAGAGTGTTTACGCAAAATTAACTACGTGAAGTACGTAGTGGAGAAAAACCAGAGCCATATCCGATCTCTTTGGGAACAAGTTCAATCTGGCTGGATGAAAGTGGGAACAAAAGACGAAAAACACATCGTTGCCATTATCAATGACTGCGTGTCTTGTGGTTCAACACCTGTCAGAAATCTGATGGAACCTAATCAAAGTCCCCAAGTGAATATCGTGCTGCCAAATACGCAAGGACAATGCTCCAGCCGTGGCAATCCCAACATGTCTCTGTGCAGCCCATGTTGCATCACACAGTAGCGCAAGCACAGTTGGACCTTGTCCTTAGAACGGTGCCAGAGAAGCGAGGCAAAACTTCTTGCATAAGTCGCTGACCATATAGAGACGCGGATATTGAGTGCTCAATTGTGGAGAGAACATGAGAGAACTACAACACCTGGCTTCCCATGCTTCCCATCTGGTTCAATCTTCTTGGATTTCTGACTGGACCCACTATATACATACAATCAATATCAATCAATACAATCTACATCAATCTACATACTGCAAGTATCTGCAAGCATTGAATTTCACTCAGTCTTCAGTGGACTCCATGGCGGTTTGTTCTGTCTCTTTGGCCCTCGCACATCCACACAATCATGGCGCAAAGCGCAGTTTGCATTCCTCCTGTGTTGTTTTAAACATCTGTCTACTCCTCTCCTGCTGGTGCCATGATTGTTGCAAAGGGCGTAAGAGCGACTAGACATCAGACGGACAACCTACAACACCACTGAGGCCAGCTCCTTGGCGACACCCATGGCATTCAGCTGCATGTGCAAACCGCGGATGGCATCGAACAGTTCCAAGAAGCCATTGGTGCAGCTGTACCACCTGCAGCGTACTGTGCAGATCTGTGGGCACAGCATCACACCAAGTGCAAAAGCATCAACAAGCCAATCGGAGGCAAATTGTCATGCCATGCGCTCAAGACTGGGCTGGCCCATATGCAAGTTGACCTTGCATCTATGTCCATCCCTAGATCTCTGTCGCTGGACGTGCTGTTCATGTGACCTCTCCAGTAAAACAGAATCAAAGAAGCAAGTGGTTGCGATCAAATCTGTTGTAATTCTGAAATCGGACAAATTGGATTCCCAGCCTTTGCATTGAGCTTGAAAGGAAGAAGCCAAGAAGTAAGCCAACAACCACCTCCAAGAAGGAGCTAATCCGTTGGAATCTGGCCACGTTGAGCTTGGCGGGATCCTTCACCAGCACCTGATTCAAGGAGGAGTAAGGAGGATCCAAGGCAAAAATCTGGAACTGAACAGAATTGAACAGAGTTGTGACTTGTCCCTTTCCGGCATGATCTTGCATGAACAAATTTTGAGAGTCCCGCCAGCTAGGATACGTCGAGATTCAGGTCGACTTGTTTGAATACGCTTCAAACATTTTAAAGCCAAGAAACTGCCACGCTGGCTGCAACCGACAATGCAATGAGAAGAAGGATTCCCATCATCTTCCAAAGGGACGACTTGGTCCAAACGGTGCCCGCCAAGTTTTGCCAGACTTTGAAGCTGAGCAAGTTCCGGGAATCGTAGCTCATGGAGTCCTACACTGAGAAACGAATATCCATGAACATCCGACGTATGGACCAAACAGGCAACAAACACATCCAAAGATATAGTACCCTATTGCTGTCAACCTTTGGGTTGTTGAACGTCTTTGGGGAACTGGTGAAACATGGTGAAACTAAATTTGATTTAAAGTCAAAGGAGAAGTTCGGCGAATTGAGAACGACTCCTAACACCGGTCCAAAAAACAATTGAAAAGATACATCACGATACATCTGCGGTCAACCCATGAGTCATGCTGCATCTTGCTGTGGAGACAGGCCTCATCAGCATCAGCTTTGGATTCCTGTGCCTTCCCCTCTTCTGCCAGGAGCGGCATCTTCTCTTCAGATGTGCCCTCCATTGAAGACGCCATTTGCTTCACTTCGTTGAAACAGTTGGGACTTGAGCCAAGCAGGCCCTGCGCCAAATGTAGACTTCGTGACTTAGCCAAGCCTGAATCTTGCATCATCAAAGGCCATGTTTTCGAATTTAGGCCATGAAAACAGTGTTACAGCCATCTGCATGCGAGACTCCATATTATTGCCAAACATCATTGAAATCTGAAGTTGAACATCTTTGTGAGGCGCAGTCTCTCTGTTCCCTTCGTCCTCAGATCAAGGTCCAGGCAGGTGTCGTGTCGATTTTGGCACCATTGCTTCATATTATTGGAAAATTGCAAATGCCAACTGCATTGCCAGGTTGCTACATACCTCGATACATGGCAACTATTGAACTATTGCTGAATGATACTCAAAGCCATGTTCGACATGATATTTGATTATGATTGAATTATTGTTTTTGTTGATGGATACCAGCTGCTCACAGTTTGACAGGACTAAGCCCCTCATCTAGAAACCCTTTTTGGCGCGGTGATTGGCTGTACCTTTTGCATCTTTTGCGCTATTTGCCGATCCCTGAGCTGCAAAAGGCTAGAGCGGCTAGAGGCAACCACAGCAATTCAAGATGACTGGACAAAACCAAGAGTGAAGTAAGATCCTGAAGGGATCTGTACTTATTGAAACAGCTGCTCTTCGGTTCGTCAATTCTGCATTTGCAGATTTGTGACAACCGTATATAAATCTCTTCTAACATGGTAAATTCCTTCACCTTCTGTACTCACTTGGATGGTGACGCCGGCACAGCTCTAGGTTGAAGTGGTGCAGTTGCAAGTAGGAGGATTTGTTCCAACAACGCCTGGAGCTGAAGGACTGAAGGACACATTTGGGTTTGAAAATGTTTGAATTCTGAAGATATGCAGGTGGTGTTTTGTGCTGAGATGCGTGTCGTAAGTCGCCGCCTTGACAAAACATCAAATCACAGAACGTCCCTAGATATAAAACCCCGATCTTGGAAATATCTGGAAATGAACAAGTGATCCAACCAAATTCAACAAGTAAACACGTCTCAACAGGAAGGGCAGGTCTTTGGAAAGTATGACCGTGAACTGCAAAAAATATATTGCAAATTGGTTTTGATGCTGAAGTTTTACGCTATATATAATAATGATCATTTATATCACAAATGTGACCAAATTATATTGTTAGTTGCCTCTGCAGCGTCATCATCCACCAAGATTCGCAGCCTCAGCCATTTCTACGTCTGGACAGAACAAACATGTTTCAGTTTATGTAAACAAACACTGTCTGTATCTGCCTTTTACACAAACCGCCTGAGTGCGCCAACTGCTTGGGTGTGACAACTCCAGGAAACCAGGAATCTCCCATACCAACCATGATGCCGCCACAAACCTCACTGCGTCCATAGCCAAAAATCAGGGGTCGTTCAAATCTGGCATATGTATGCATATGTTTTTCAAAATCTGAGAAAAAATCAATACATGCTGAGTTGCATGGTGGTATCCGGTCTCGTTCCCACCAGCGCCATTTGCCACGGCGTTTGCGAGTGGTGTGCCTTCGAACTCAAAACTACACAACTGAGTGAGTTAACTGCGTCTTACATGTTGATCATGTTGTTCTGTGTCTGAACAGTTTTACCAAAAACTCTTGGGGTTGACAAATTCGGTTGCATCCCAACATGATGAGGAAGGAGCCTTCTGTCAATGCCGTTTGTCGATGTTCGCAACCTACCCGGCGAATTTTTGTGCCGCCCTGCCCCCCCCCACATCACACACACTTGACTGATAGACACAAACCAGGAATGTGAGAAGCCCAGCATAAACCACAGTTCCAGCAGTTGCTGTTGGTGTTCAATCTATATGATCACAACTTAGCATGTTTGTTTTGTCTGAATCTGTCTTCTACAGTTCAAAGAAATTATCCAAAATTGAGGCGCCAAGCATCGACGTAATTATTTGATATTATTTGGCATTGTGGGTTAATGTGGGTTATCATGGGTGTTGTTTCATTTCCGCACTGTGGGATGGTGTGCAGCAAACCGTACCCTTTAAACAAAGGATGCGGATTGCCTGGTTCTAGAGGCTGCCGTCCTTCATTTTTTACTGGTTTTCATTGTTCTTTCGATGGTTGTTATTGTTTTCAAAGGTTTTTGTTATTTTTCCTTGTTTTTCATTGATTTCTCGACGGTTTTATCGATTTGTCCATGGTGTTCATCGATTTCTTCACGGTTTGCATCGATGTTCCATGGTTTTCATTGATTCCTCAATGGTGTTTATCGAGATTTCTGATTTTCATCAATTTGTTTGTTCGATGGCTGTCATCGATTTCTTGATCGTTTTCAAGTTTTCCATGTGTTTTAATCGATTTGTCTATGGTGTTCGATTCTTCCGCGGTGTTTATCCATTTTTCCATATTATTGATCGATTTTTCCATGGCGTTCATCGATTTCTTGATGGCCTTCATCGATGTCTGGGTGGCTGTAGGTTAGGTGAGGTGTTCATTGTTTTTTCGGTGGCGTTCATCGATTTCATTCGATTTCTTGATGCTGTTCAACTTGTGAACAATTGTGAAATATAGAATCCAGGGTGAGGCACCACCGTGTTGGGTGCAAATAGTTTCATTGAATGTTATCATAGTACCGGTTTGGAATTTATTTACGGTTGGTTTAGCGTTTATTTCGGGTTGGTTTAGGGTTTAGTTAGGGTTGGTTTATAGACTATTTAGTCTATTTAGGGTTGGTTTAGGGCCTGCTTAGGGTTGGTTTGGGGTCTATTCAGGGTCTGTTTAGGGTTTCCTTTGTGTACGGATGAATTAGGGTTGAATTAGTGTTTATCTGATAATAACCCCCAAGCTGTATAAAAATATGTAATATGTATGTATGTATGTATGTATGTATGTATGTATATATATATATATATATGTATATATATGTATATATATATGTATACATATGGTGGAGTATGCATATGGTGGAGTATGCAGCGCCTCCCCCCAAGGCAGAATGACAATACCAATACCTATTCTCACATGTAATGCTGTAGGTTGAATGTGGTACTCAGGGTGTGTATAATGCACAACCTTGTGAACATGTGGAATGTAGTTTTGTAATATAGGTTATAGTCGTAGCGTTAAAACGAGATTGAACCAGCAAATGTCAGCCCGTTAAAGTTAAGGCCACTGAACCCAAGAATCCACCAACAAAAAATATATAAAGCAAAAAGATGCCAAAAAAAACACAAGAAACAAAAGCCGTAAAGCTATCACAGAAGCCGAAAAGGAGAGAACGCATGGAAACCAAAGAAGCCACATCCTTTGAGAAGCAGCAGAAACAAAAGCCAAAAGCCAAGCCTCCAGACGAATATCTATATATATATGTGTATCATATATATATAATTATATATACACACATATATATATATACATATATATATACACATATATATATATATACACATATATATATATATACCCCACCAAAAAAAATACACTCGGAGAGATTTTGCTAACCCTTCTATATTTTTGATGGTTTTTAGGTATATTTTGTTCCTCCCATTTTGATTGTTTATTTAGGTATGTTTTGAGTTCCAAGGGGATGACCATATCTAAACAAATAAATATATATATATATTATCCATACATACACCTGTGGGAGACTAGAGGCCTAAAGCTGACTGAAAAAAATGTGAAAAAACTGACAAAAATGGGTTCCAGCAGAGATCTTGGGTCAACATCTTGTAGAAAAAAGTAAGTGTTTTTCAGTTTTGTCAGTTTCCGGTCTCCATCAGTCCGTTCGGATCTTCGAAAAAAATTGGGAGCCGATCGAAAGAGATATCTCTCTGGAATCTTTGATTTGCCATAAACCTGTCCGGACGGACCAAAAGCTGAAAATTTGAAAAAAAAATTGGAGACTCTAGGCTCAAGATCTCTGAAACCTTTTGTTTTTTATGCCTCAAAAGACCTAAAAAGACGCACAAACTGATAAAAACTGATGCTACTTTGAAAGAGTCTTATCTTGAATGGAAGCCCTTGAATGGATGCTGTACTCTTTCGAAAGAGTACTGGCATTAGACATATTGGATAAAATGGTGGGGCATTCCTGGATAAAATGTACATTCTTTGTAATAGAATGCCTCAACAAATGCAGTAGTTCTTTGAACGAGTCTTTCCTGCAAAGAAACTCCTTCAATAGATGCAGTATTCTTTTGAAATAGTAGATAATAGTAGTGCGTTCTTAAACAAGTGTAGTAGCGCAGCATTACTTTTTGCAAGATCTCTTTAAGAAGAGTGAACCTTTCTTGCAAATAGTGGAATATTTCTTTGAGAAAATGCGACGTTGTTTGATCTAGCATCTTTCAATAGATGCAGTAGTAATTACTTTGAAAGGCCCTTTCAAAGGTGCAGTATTCCGTGGAAAATGCATGTGAAATGGCATGGCACTACCTCGACAACAAAATTATTTTAGTCTGTGTAGTATGCGTTTGAAGCAGTAATATATTTGGAAAAGGGTTGTAGTCTATCGAAAAGAGTGACACATTCCTTGAAAATGCTGGGGGGGTCCTTCGAGAAAATGTATATAACATGGCTCTGGAATAGAATGTTTCTATAGATGAAGCTGTATGTAGAAAAAGTCTTAGCTTAAAATAAGCCCCTGAATGGATGCAGTACACTCTTGACATAGTAATGTAGTCCGAAACAAGTGTAAAAGTGTAGTATTGTAGCATCACTTTTTGCAAGACTCCATGAAGAAGAGTGCACCATTTATGGAAAATAGTGTCATATTTGCATGAGAAAATTAAACATCATTGTTTACATTAACATCCTTCACTAGATGCAGTAGTACTTTGAAAGAGCCTTGCAAGGGTGTAGCATTTCTTGGGAAAGGACAGAAACATGACGAACATGCCTCTCAAAAAGCCCAGCACTATTACAGTAGAATTGTGTTCAATGGATGCAATGCTCTTCTGGAATCGAATAGTAGTAGAAAAGTGTACTTTTCGACAGTGTTGTATCATGACTAGTATGGTTAGTATGTTGTTTTATGAGGGTGTAGCACCAACAGGGTGGGCAAAACCCTTCAAAGGAGTGAAACACTTCTTGAAGACTGTGCAGTATCACTTAAGGCCGAGTACCATCACTTTAAAGTTGGAAAAGGGTGCCACTTTGGAAAAAGGCCAGCTCTACTTGAGAGTAAAATTGTCCAATGCATGCAGCTCTCTCCTGAAGTAGAATGGATTCCTGGGGTCTAATCTATCTATCTAATCTAATCTAATCTAATCTAATCTAATCTATCTAATCTATCTCTCTATCTATCAAATCTAATCTCCAGTAATCGAATCTATCTATCTATCTATCGATCGATCGATCTATCAAACGGATCTATCTATCTATTTTTCTGTATTATCTATGTGATCTAATCTAATCTACCGTAATCTAATCTGATCTGATCTAATCTAATATAATCAATCAAGCTATCTAGTTAGCTATCTACCTATCTTTCTTTCTATCTATCTATCTATGTCTGACTATCTCTATCTATCTCTATCTATATCTATCTATATCTATCTATCTCTATCCATCTCTATCTATCTCTATCTATCTCTATCTATCTCTATTTATCTCTATCTTTTTCTCTGTATCTCTATCTACCTCTATCTACCTCTATCTATCTCTATCTATCTCTCTGTATCTCTATCTACCTCTATCTACCTCTATCTATCTCTATCTATCTCTATCTATCTTAGATCTCTATCTATCTCCTCTTTCTATCTCTATCTATTGCTATCTACCGCTATCTATTTCTATCTATTTCTATCTATCTATCTATCTATCTATCTCTATCTATCTCTATCTATCTCTCTCTATCTGCCTAATCTTATCTAATCTTATCTAATCGTGTCTAATCGTATCTAATCTTATCTATTCTTGTCTGTTCTTATACAACTTTATCTAATTTTATGTTTTCTATCTATCTATCTTATCTATCTTATCTATCTTATCTATCTTATCAATCTTATCAATCTTATCTATCTTATCTATCTTATCTATCTTATCTATCTTATCTATCTTATCTATCTTATCTATCTTATCTATACGCCCATCCATCCATCCATCCATCCATCCATCCGGTAAAGTTTCACCGGCACTGTGCTTGTGGTGTTGGATTGTGTCACCGTTGTCTCACGTCTGTCCTCTTGTCCAATTGTCCTTCTCTTGTGCACGACCGCTGTATTGTTTTCCTCTGGCAAATTGTCTAAGGCTCAAGGCCTACGGATACAGCACACATTGTGCTGAGCATTGTTGACCATGAACACTATGAATTGTATCTGCTATAGTACGCTTGTATTTTTACACCGTCCCTCGACTTGGCAACATTGTGATGCCATGTCGCACAGGATTGTCCATAAACATTGTCCATTCACATTGTTTTAACCCGAAACAGAGAGTACTTGATCCATTGTTCAGTGCAAATTGTTTCAAAGTCTGTACATATGGAGCTGCCTCATTGTCCAGTCATCTTGTTGTCGGCATCGTGGTTCGTGTGCCTTATTGTCGATGATCCAGACTTCATTGCTCCATGGTTCCTGTTTGGACCATTGTCCTAGTCCAACTTCTCAGATCCATCTTTGTTGCCCTCCTTGTTCTCCGACTCAGCACTTTTGTCGTCACGAAGGCGCTTTGCCGGTGGGCTGCGATCTGAGTTGTCCTCTGCTTCCATCTGCATGGTGGC